CACAAACGAAAAGTTACCACGATGAAGCGAAGAATCCGATGTGCAGCACCGATCCGCAGAGAGAAGGTCATCCGGGAGTACCTGGAAGAAAAAGAAAAATACGAATTAAAGGCCAAGCAAGAAATGATAAGTAGTTGGAAAGGGTTCTGTGGAAAACAAGATAGAGAAAGTATGTGGGATGGGATCTATAGGGTCATAGGAAGGACAACTAAAAGGCAGGAGGACATGATGATGGAGAAGGATGGCGAGGTGCTGGATCCGAAAGAGTCGGCTTATTATATAGCCGAGACCTTTTATCCAGAGGATAATGAGGGAACGGATAACGAAGAGCACAGAATAATCAGAGGGAAAGCAAACACGGGAGAGGGGCTATGTGGAGAGGAAGTAGACGAGCGACTCTTTACATTAAAAGAGCTTAACACGGCAGTGGACAGCTTTAACCCTAAGAAGGCTCCTGGACATGACGGCCTCACTTCCGACATATGTAAGAAAGCCATAGACCGGAATCCCAGTATCTTTCTCGCACTGGTAAACAGGTGCCTGGAACTGAGCTACTTTCCAGCATGCTGGAAGATAGCCACAGTCGTCGTACTCAAGAAGCCGGGTAAGGAAACCTACACTGAGCCAAAGTCGTACAGACCAATCGGGCTCCTGCCAGTGATGGGAAAGATACTGGAGAAAATGATAGCCAATAGAACGAAATGGCACATCCTCCCCAGGCTCAGTACTCGCCAGTACGGCTTCACGCCCCAAAGGAGCACGGAGGACGCCCTCTATGATTTGATGAAACACATACGTGACAAACTTAAGCAAAAGAAAATTATCAGTCACGTTAGTTTCACTGGACATAGAGGGTGCGTTTGATAATGCCTGGTGGCCGGCCATAAAAACCGACTGGCTGAGGAAAAGTGCCCAAAGAATATCAGGAACATGTTTACAGCTACCTGCAAGACAGGAACGTGAAGTTGAGATACGCAGGGGAGGAGGTAACCAGGAGAACCACCAAAGGCTGTATACAAGGATCGATAAGGGCCGCTGCTGTGGAACCTTTTGCTTGACCCACTCCTGCAGGGGCTGGAAAGAAGGGGAGACATGTCCAGGCATTCGCGGATGACATCCTATGGTCATAGATGGAGAAGCGCGTTGGATATAGAAGGGAGAGCGAATGCCGCCTTGGAATACGTCCTAGATTGCGGATAAGAAGAACAAACTCCAATTCGCACCACATAAAACAAACGCCATGGTCATAACAAACAGGCTAAAATTTGACACCCCAAGGCTGAACATGGATGGCAAACAAATTGGTATGACGGAGGAAATGAAAATACTCGGACTAACAATTGATCATAAGCTGACCTTCAACAGTCATGTAACCAACGTGTGCAAAAAGTCGCTGGGTATGTACAGGCAGTTAGCTAGGGCGGCCAAGACCGAATGGGGTTTACACCCGGAAGTGATAAAAACCATCTACACAGCGGTTGTAGAACCGGTGATGATGTATGCGGCTAGTGTATGGGCGCCAGCAACCAAAAAACGGGGAGTACGCAAGAAACTCGATGCTGTTCAGAGGGTTTTTTGTCAGAAGATATGCAAAGCGCACCGCACAGTTTCCCTTAACTCGGCACTGACGCTGGCTGGGATATTACCCCTAGACCTCAGAATACAAGAGGCTGCAGCCTTTTATGAAGCTAAAAGAGGGGTACCTCAGCCGATACTAGCGGACAGAGAGGTAGAGAAGAGGGCCGCATACACCAAAACGCCTCATCCGGCAGAACAAATTGAATTATATTTTACACGCTTGGAAAACTGTGAACAGGTGGAGGAAAAAAGTGAGCATCCTGTACAAATCTATACAGATGGGAGCAAAATCGAAGGAAAAGTCGGGGCATCTCTATCATTTTGGGATAGAAATGCTGAAATAAAAAGTATGAAACTAAGTCTCCCAGCATATTGCACAGTCTACCAAGCGGAATTGCTAGCTATAAACAGGGCTACAAAAGAGGTCTTAAAAAACCCGGCAACTGACTTCGGTATTTACAGCGACTCTAGATCTTCCCTAGAATGTATTATAAATTATAACTCCCTACACCCCCTAGCAGTAGAAATTAGAGAAAATATAAAGATGGCACAAAAGTTGAATAAAACAGTAGCCCTTTACTGGGTCAAAGCACATACGGGTCTAGAGAGGAATGAGAGAGCGGATCGAATAGCTAAAGAAGCGGCACTGGGAAGCAAAAGGAAGGCAGAATATGACTTCTGCCCACTTTCTTTTATAAAGAAGCAAATCAGGAGCCGTACACTGGACACATGGGAAGAAAGATACCAGCAAGGAGAGACTGCAAAAGTAACAAAGATATTCCTACCCCATGTGGTCAGTGCATATAAGGTAATAAGAAAAATAGAAACCTCCTCACTCACTATCCAAATAATGACAGGGCATGGGGGATTCTCCGAATACTTGAATCGCTTCAAGTGCAAGGAGAGTCCTGCATGCATCTGCGAGCCCAGTAAAACCGAGACCGTGACCCATCTAATTCTGGAATGTCCCGTAAATGGCCCAGAGAGGTATGATTTTGAAAACAATATAGATTTAGAATTAAAACTAGAAAATATACCCCTAATCTTAAGTGAACATACAAAAATTTTCTTAGAATATTGTAAAAAAGTAGCTAAAAAAGCGATTAAAAGAAATGAAAATAATATAAGCTAGATAAACATGNAGCCGAGACCGTGACCCATCTAATTCTGGAATGTCCCGTAAATGGCCCAGAGAGGTATGATTTTGAAAACAATATAGATTTAGAATTAAAACTAGAAAATATACCCCTAATCTTAAGTGAACATACAAAAATTTTCTTAGAATATTGTAAAAAAGTAGCTAAAAAAGCGATTAAAAGAAATGAAAATAATATAAGCTAGATAAACATGAAGAATAAGAATAAGAAAACTGAAAGTTGTTTAAATTTTGATTTAATTAATTGGTAAGAAAAATTGTGTAAAAATAAAAGATAAAAATGTGCGGCTATTTCCCCCTTACATGATAGTAAATAAGAAGAATAGGTTCAGAATGGGAGTCCCACCCAGAATAAGGAAAGAAAGATATGATGAATGCAGAAAGAAAATGTATGCGGCATGAATGTGCGAGCGGAAAAATAGCGAGAACTGGAATGAGAAAGAGAATTAGGTTTAACATAGGCTCCGATAACGTCGGAGGTAGACAGTATAAAAAAAAATAAAAAAAAAAAAAAAAAACCTAACCTAACCTAACCTAACCTAACCCAAACCTACCCCCAAACCTAACCCAAACCTAACCCAAACCTAACCCATACCTAACCCAAACCTAACCAGTCTGCTGGCAGCCACGACCGTAAGAGCCACGTCTTTTGCACGCTCCGTGTCATAAAATCGTGAACAAAGGTTCGTTTTTTTTGTTTTTTTTTTCGCATAAATAAACAACTGTTTCTTGTGTGTGTCTTTGTACGCGTCTTGGCGAGAAGAACAAAACAGTGAAAACAGCGTGAAAAGCACGAGAAAGTTGTGACCGAGATTCCAGCGGAAAACTACCGAAGTAATCACGGATTTCCTGAAACCACGTGCAACCGGCCTCAGCTTCCAGTACAGCTGGACAGGTGTGTGGCACATCAGGAGACGCGTCTCAACGACACCAAGATCACGATCATCCGGGACGATGATGCAGCTCCTCAAAAGTAGGCAAAAATCTGTTTTTTTCGGATTTATTTTTGGACTAATAGTTTTTCAAAATTGACACCAAAATTGTATATTAAAACAGGTACTCAAGTTATGTGAAATTCCACCCCCTACCTAATTAAATTTAAAAATAAATTTTTTTTTAAACGTATTTAAAAATATCCTTGACAAAAAGCTTAAATTAGTTTTTAAGCTAATTCAGTATTTTTATAAAAACAAGGACATTTGCAGTCACGGCGGAAAGGCGGCACTGAAACAAACCCTCAAAACAGGGTGAAAATATTGTATTGCGCTCAGACGTAAATTAATTTATAAGATTGTCTAGGCCATAGTGAATAAATTAATTTTTAAATTAGAATTTTAGGAGCGAAGGTTGATTCGCGATTCTCAATAACGTTTTTGTTTACATGCTGGACAATTAAGTTAGCATTGAGATCGCGAATCTGCGCAGGGTGCTCAATCTGCAACACTGAAACAATGGGAGCGAGAATGTGAAGATCTCCGTTTGGTGTTATGGCCAAAGTTGCTTTTCTGGATCAACAGTCGCGGTCCTCCAATATCGAGATCCAGTGTGTTCCTGAGCACTAGCAGGAGAACTTAATGAGCATCGTGCAACAGTAGGGAAGAATAATAAAGTATGCTATCGGCGAGAATAGCATCCAACACTGTTCCAGAATGGCTAAATTAAACAGCACTAGTCCCCGTCCTCGGTCTATACTCGTAAGATTCAATAGCCAACGCCTTCGTGACGAGTTCCTGGCATGTACCACCAAGTTCAACAAAAGCAACCAGAATGACAAACTGAATACTAGTCACCCAGGTATCGGTGAAAATAAGAAATCCGCAATCTACGTTGCTGAGCACCTGAGTCCTGAAAATAAGACACTTCATGCCGCAGCCCGCACCAAGGTGAAAGAACTGAACTACAGGTGCGTGTGGGTGCGAGATGGACGCATCTACATGCGTAAAAATGACGAAAGTAAATATCTCCACGTTAAAAATATCGATTTGTTGAATAATTTGTCATAAGCTTGCTACACTTGCCATACTATTACTATAGGGCGCTCTTCATAATCTTAACGTGTATTATTCAAACGTTAGAGGCAACGTTAAAGGCGTTAAACGTTAAGAACAAAGACAGTTGAGTTTTTTGGTAATGTGGTCTGTTGCGGTTTCGATGTGGTAATATTGACGGAGACCTGGCTGAACAGTGGTGATGGTGGTTACGTGATACTAAGAACAGATTGAAATACTTATACCTATATCTGCGCTGTTTACCTACCGTCACCTGCTCAATTTCATATACAATGTGTCCGGACTTCGATGTCGGAGACTTTATGGGGTTAAAATACAATTAATTTCATCGACAAATTAGCCATCAAATATTTTTTATATCCAACTATTAAAAAATGGCAGCCCTTTAAAAACTTTTGTAGCCGAAGCACAGGTGCATGTGTTAATTTAACAATACCTACCCAAGTAGAGGTGTTAGAAACACAAAAGAGGTCTCATATGCTAGCTAACAAAGAAGCCAAAAAAATAATAGATTTAATAACAAGACAAAAAATTTGAGTAAAAGAAAAAAATAAACGAAATTTTTTTTTCATTCTTTTTTTTTTCATATGTTAGCTATAAAAAAAAACATTGTGCTAATGATATGTATGGCACCGTTGTCTATGCTGATCGTGACAGTAATAAACCAGTACGCGCTCAGAACGGTTGTTTGTTTTCCTAGTCACATACTTCTCACTGGCGACGAGTCGTATTAATTTACCCACGCGTAAAATAAAAATTAAAAAAATGTCTTATTTGGGAAATTTACCAATTTACGATCATAAAACATGTGAATGGTCTATTTTCAAGAGTCGTTTAACACAGTTTTTAAAAGTAAATGACGTATCGGAAGAAAAGAAAAATGCTATCCTCATTACACACCTCTCCGATAAGGCGTACCGTCTAGTGCGAAATTTAGCATACCCCAAAGATGCTGATTAATTTTCGTATGTGGAGCTGGTTTCATTACTCGATAATCATTTTAAGCCAAAGAAGTGTTCATATACCGACAAGGCTCGTTTTTATGGGGCTACGAGAACCCCAGGCGAATCATTAGGAGACTGGGCGGCGCGACTTAGGGGGTTGGCAAGTTATTGCGAATTCGGCGCGGCTTTGGAAACGAACCTTACGGATCGTTTTGTCCTAGGCCTGGGCTCAGGTCCAGCACGAGATAAGCTGTACGAGCAGGACCCATCAAAAATGAAAATCGATCGAGCGTTAGAAATAGCCCAACAGGCAGACAGTGCGAGGGAGGCTAAGTTCATGGAAGTTAGTGTTAAGGAAGAACCTGTGTACCGTGCCTCCTTCACGCTCGACGATAGACGTGAAGCTAATCGACGAGTGCGGACGAGTGAGCCAAGCAGTGGTTATTCAGGGCAGCGGCAGCGGTCCCACCTTGGTGATGGTCAATCAGTTCGCGGGCAGCAACCACGTCGTGACTTTCCAAGGTGCTCGGTTTGCGGGTTAAGAAACCACGATGAAGAGAAGTGCCGTTACAAGGGCTATCGCTGTCAGAAGTGCGGTGAAAAGGGACATTTAAAANTTGCGACATAGTTATGTTTCTGTTTCAAGGGGTGCTGGCAGGTGGTATTTTTATTGGCTTAAATCATGTAAATATTGCCAAAATGCATATATATACTTAATGACACACAAAAGGATCACAAAATCTTTATAATGTAAATAAAATGAATTAATTTTAATTTTCAAACTTAAAGCACTTGTTTCACTTTTGACACCTACCCCCAAAAAAAGGGTTATTTATTACACGTTTACCAGTTATTACACGACAAGACAAAGTGGTGTTAAATTCTATTTAGATAAAGGTTGTGGACACAGTGTGGGGAATAAAAATACACCAAGGAACTGTTAAATTGACTTTGGTAAATACGAAATACAACTTGCACTGCAGCTCAAGAGATGTTGATTGAAAAAGGCTTCGGACAAAGTGACTTGTCCTTTTATATTAATTGTCTTACGGTTCTCGAATGTTCCGCCTATAGTGCTGTGACAATCTCACCCTCGAACCACAGACAAGATAGCACGGTCACGCCATGCAGTGTCGAATAAGTGCACTACGCAGCGTTTCATAATTATATATTTCCCACACTGCGCCACGTAAACGCTAAAGGGCGTTAATTAAAAAAAAAAAAAAATTTAATTTTTCTAGCGTTACAACTATAGAAAAATATATATATATTTTTTTTTAAATATTAAAGTTGTTTTATTGATTACCTTTAAGGTAATCGTTGAGTACTCTAATGATAGTTTCGCAGGTCTCTGGTATTATCTCAGATAGTAGTTGTGGTTGATATACATGTGCTTAATTTAAGATCTTTATATTCTCTTCCTGACGCGAGATATTTTAAAGTTGCCACTAATCTTTCTTCGGCAGTTACAGCTCGCCTCATAACTGTATCGGTTTTCGTTATATATTTTTTCACAAGATTTAATATTTCATCAAATGATTCTGGAGTCATTCGAAGATATGTTCGGAAATCTTCATCATCCAATTCCTTAAGGAGCCGCATATGACTGTAATATTCTCTATTTCTATAGTAGAATTTAGCCCATTCTCTTCGTTTTTTCCTTTGTTCCTTTTGTAGCGGTGCTGTAGTAAGAATGGTTGCTGCAACCAACGCTATTTTAGCATTTTTCGATAATACCGGTGGCATGATGTTTATGCATCGACGATCGACGGCATCAGGTGGCAAGACGTCCGTTCACTACTTCATAGCAAAGTCAACTGACGGCTGGAAGGCCAACCGTCGGACAATCTGTAGCAATGTTGGAATGGTTGCTATGTCGGTTCCAATATGGCTGGCACCAACTGAATCGGAGCGTCTGTACTTACTTATAGGCTACGTCACACAAATCGGAACGCGGCGTAGACCTCGTAGCCGAGCAGCATAGCGTAGCCTAGCAGCCGTGTCGTAGCGCAGCCGCCGGTCAACACGAGGAGATATTGCGTGGAAGTTCGCGTGCCGACAAAGTGACCGTTTGGGTTTTTGTGTGATTAGATAGCAGGACAAAATTAAATTGTAGAAATATTTGAACAGACTACACGCTGCGGCCGCGTGATAGTTGTTTACGCGCAAACCGAGTGACCGAACAGCGCGCTCAAGGTCATTGTCGTCTTGTGTTGTTCTTGTTTGTTTCTTTTTGTGTTTGTTTTGTATAATACACTACATATATTACATTTTTCCAAATTTTTAGATTTTTTGGCCTAGTAGTTTTTTCAAAATTGCTATTACAAAATTGTGTACTAAAACAGGTTTTCAACTTACACGAAATTTCACTTTCTCCCAAATTAAATTTCAAAATTATTTTTGTTAACATTGTATTTAGATAGGTCCCCAATAAATAGCTTTAACTAATTATTTTTTTTATTATTATTTTTATAAATATTTTTATAAAACAATAACATTTGCGGTCACGGCGGAAAGGCGGCACTGAAACAAACCCTCAAAACAGGGTGAAAATATTATTGCGCGCAGACGTAAATTAGTTTATAAGATTGTTTAGGCCGTAGTAAATAAATTAGTGTTTAAATTAGAATTTTAGGACCGAAATTCGATTCGCGATACTCAAAAACATTTTTGTTTACACGCCGAAGCAACCGCACAGGCATTGAGATCGCGAATCGAAAATCAACTTTTTAAATAATAAATATTTTTAATTTCTTTTATTAAAACTGGGTAGGGCGTGGTCAAAAACTACCCCCCACGTTTTTAAATTTTCGAAAAACACCATTTATATGTAAATAAACCAGGCCTAAACTTAGAAATTTTATCTATTCTGTTGCAAATGATGTGACAATAAAAACCAGCAGCGTAACGACAAGTTCTTTTATTTGTGCAAGAATGCAGAAAAGTAGGTAGAAATGGCTGGCACGGCTTATTTTATTAACACTATCCCCCCTTCGTTGGCTTTGGCTGGCGGCGGTGGCGGTGGCTGTGGCGGAAGGGGGCGTGTTAATATGGCTTGGCGGCTTGGCTGGCGGCAGGGCATGACAGCTGACGTCACGTCCGTTACAATTCTTTTTTGTTTGTTTTTGTAAGTTTTGTTTTTATTTTATTTTTTAGTTTTTGATGCTGACCCCCATATACAGGGTCAGACTGACATTGTCAATTTTCCCCGTTTCTCTCGCATAGCCCACGCACAAAACACTATATATTCGCGTATACACACAAGCAGACACCACATACACACGCCATCACAAACACAAACAAAAGACTATACAAAATGTATCGCACATCAACGACGTCTGGAGCCGTGACTAAACCCGTCAACCCTAGCCCCTCTGCCGCACCTAGCGCAGTAAAGGACGCTGCCAGAACGTTCATCCGCAGGCCCGAACGAAGCAGAAGGTCCCTGGATAACATGGAGACCTACAAGAAGCAGCAGGACAACTACGCTGCAATGCCGAGCGACCATCTCTTCCAGGAACTAATGAACACTTTGAGGATATTCCCCCAAAGGTTAGTGAATACCCTAAAATGAGGAGGAATATTAAGAACTTCCTGGAGATTCGGTCGGACAGGGGCCAGCGTGTCCTCTACGAACTTAGTAAGTGGTTGACGTGCTCGGAAGCGGTTGGTATGCTCCAACGTTGCGGCCACCAAGTCAGGGCACAGGCCGGCGCTTCACTCAGTGGCAGTCACCCTTGAAGGGAACCTTGAAACTGCTGACGAAGTCCTAGAAAGAGTTAAGAAGGCGGTCGACGCCAGGGCAACAGGCTTAAAAATCAACAAGGTGAGAAAGACAAAAAACCAGACGGTAATTCTAGGATGCAACATAGACGAACTAGAAAACTAGAACTAGAACTAGAAAACACAGCCGAAATAGAAAAAGTTAAAACTAGAATAGAAAGCAAAGGGAATGGCTGGTTGTAGCGCGAATGCAAAACAAAAACCCTCTCGTCGTCCTTAAAGACGTCTTTTTGGACAGCGAGGACGACGAGATGGTCAAGGCGCTACACTCACAAAACCATGATATCTTTACAGGGCTTGAGGAAATAGATATAGAAATAAAAGTAAAGTTCAAGAAAAGGACGAGGAATCCTAAAATAGAGCGCATGTTGTGGTCCAGGTCAGACCTATAGTATGGCAGAGGATGACCTGGACCACCAGTTTCCTGCAACCCTCGACGTCTGGTTCCTGACAAGCTAAAAATCGCTAAACAAGAGTTCGAGTCCATGATACGAAATGGCATCGCTAGGCCGTCAGAGAGTTCATGGGCATCACCGTTACACCTTGCTCCAAAAAAGGACAATGGATGGAGACCATGTGGCGATTACTGCATGCTAAATGCGCGTACAATACCTGATTGTTATCCGATACGCCACATCCAAGACTTCACACACTGCATCAATGGTTGTATCATATTCTCCAAAATAGACCTAGAAAAGGCTTACCAGCAAATTCCAGTTGTTCCAGAGGACGTACCAAAGACAGCTATTACCACACCGTTTGGCCTGTACAAGTTCCCTTTCATGACTTTTGGTCTACGTAATGCTGGCCAAACGTTCCAAAGATTCGTTGATGAAATGACTAGAGGACTTGACTTTTGCTACACTTTCTTAGACGATCGCATAACGTGCATGAGCACCAATCGCATCTACGTGAAATATTCAAGCGTCTTCAAAATTATGGCCTGGTCATAAATAGTTCCAAGTGTGTTTCCAGAGTTGAAAAGGTGCAGTTTCTGGGATACACGATCTCAGCTGAAGGAACAACACCTTTCGAAGCCAAAGTAGAAGCCATCCAAAACTTTCCCGAGCCGAAAACCATAAAACAGCTTAGAAGGTTCCTAGGGAAGCTTAATTTTTACAGAAGATTTATACCATCAGCTGCACAAACTTAAACTGCCTTGAACAACCTCCTTACAGGCTCAGTGAAGGGCTCACATCCTGTCAACTTTAACGAACAGGAACTAAAAGCATTTCGAGACTGTAAAGATAGTCAGTGCCGTGCCACATTATTGGCACATCCAGACTGCGAAGCACCACTGGCATTGGTCACAGATGCATCTGAGAAGGCGTTCTCAGATGCATCTGTGCTGTACTCTAACAATACAAGAATCGAGGATGGCAACCATTGGCATTCTTTTCTCGCAAGCTAAGTCCCAGTCAGTGCAAATACTTACCTTACTTAAAAGGACTACTGCGTTCCATCCTTCCTGCAATGGATTAGTGAAGAGATTTCACCGCCATCCGAAAGCCGCTATCGTATGCCTCGCCAAAGCGAACTGGACGGACATACTACCGTTAGTTTTACTTGGCATACGGTGCGCTTACAAGGAAGATCTGAAATCTTCCTCAGCAGAATTGGTCTATGGCGAAACGTTGAGACTACCGGGACAATTTTTTGACAGTCCTACTTTGACACCAACCAACGATGACTTTATTGCTCGGTTACGTTTATTCGCCCAGCCAATAAAATCACAACCAGCATCACGACACGGACATAAACCAAATTTTACATTTAAAGATCTCAAGACGTGCATCCACGTTTATTTGAGAGATGATGTAAAACGCAGGTCATTACAACCTACATACACAGGACTTCACACCGTGCTGCACAGAGATGATAAAACATTGACACTTCTCATAAAAGGGAAGTCCATCAAAGTAACATTAGACCGAGTGAAACCAGCCTTCTTACTTGATGAACAACTACCAAAACACCAACCTGAAAAGGAAATTATCATAGAGAGGCGTACCAGATCAGGTCGCAGAGTACACTTCCCTGACTTTTACCGCCCGTAGTAACGGTCTCCGCGGGGGAGTGATGTGGCATCTACTTACCCACCTACACACACAAACACACACTAACACACTATGTACATTGTCATTTATATAATATATACATATAATAAATACATATAATACACGTACACATTTATACTACAATCATAATATTAGTATATTTACATATTTATAAGAATTACACCGACACCGCGACGATAAAAAAACGGCAATAGAATGTGCAACGAAAACGCACATTCCAACGGTATTTGCAGTGGAGTGTGCGGGGAGACAACCCCGCTCCGGCGCATCCAGTGTGACCAGATTTAGTGCGGTTTTAGCAGAATTAGATCCNAACTTCTCGGTGAAGGAGAGTGTTGTGACGTGCGTTACAATATTTACAGTGGGTAAGTCTACAATTTTTGTCTTGATGACCTGTGCGTAAACAATTTTTACAAAGATTATGGTAGGTGGAAACTTTAGTAATACGTGAGTTAACGTCTAAAGCTCTAAATGCATCGCAACTGAATAGATAATGATTTTGTTTACACAGTGGACAGATAGGATGTTTTATTTGATTTGTATTGTTTGTAACTATAGCGAATGATTTTGATTTATGAACTTGTGTGTCAGTTTGAGGATTTTTGTGTAGTTGTTTGTTGCTACTAAGTGTTTCTAATAATTCTGCTCTGTTATTTAAAAATGTGATAAATTGTTTTAAAGTTGGTTGCTCACTTAATGAACTTTTAAACTCTTCCCACTGCCTGTTTGAAATAAAATCTAGTTTTTTACTCATCATGAATATAATCAAGACATCCCATTGGTCTGTGGGCTGATCCAAGATGTTTAGTGATCTTAAATTTTTATTAATAATATCTATTAAAAATCTTAATGATTTTGATGAATCTTTTTGCACTTGTTCAACGTTGAATAAAGCCTGAATATGATTATTAATAAGAATTTTTTTATTGTTGTATCTTTCCGTTAATAATTCCCATGCAATTTTATAATTATTAGCTGTAAATTCTAGGCTTTGAATCACTGATGACGCATTTCCCTTCAGGGACGTTCGCAAATAATGGAATTTACTAATTTCATTAATACGTGTGTTGTCGTGTATAAGCGAAATATACATATCTCGGAACTCGAGCCAGTGATGCAAATCTCCATCGAAAGAGGGTAGGTTGATGTCCGGAAGACGAAAAAAATCTTTCTTTTCATTGGAGATCGTCCCGGATCCACCGTAACTGGTTTGCCCACTACTGGGTGTTGGTTCCAGCATACTATGCGCAAGCGCAGTGACGGTAAAGTAAACAGTCTCAAACTGCTCCCGTTCTGCGTACTCTTTCTCTTCATCTTCTGAAATAGTTTCGATTTCAGTCTGTAATTTATTAAAATCTATGTAAGCTTCGTCGATAGCCTTAAGTCTTACTTTGTAGTTCTATTCGGTGCGGATTGCTTAATGATGAATATGACTTCGCGATGTTTATATAATTTGAAAAATGCGTTAACTTCGCTTTCTGACTGCTACGTAGCTTTAACAGCTTTTTAATTCTTTCGTCGGACATTATGTTTTCAAGCAAGCCAATAAGATAATAAGCAATAAGCTAAAGGAAATAAATTTAAAAAATAAAAGTAAGCAGGTAGAAATCAAAAAAATAAGTTAAGCAAAAAGCAATTAATTTAATAAAATCAACGTAGCAATAGGTATAAGGAAATAGATATTCAGGAATGCGGTCCGGTCGGGTGATCGATCTAGAACAATGGGAGGTTGCAGGTCATGTGAAGGTCAAGCGAAAAAAAAAAATTACACACAAGTTAGCAGAAAAAAATTACGTGTATGGCACAAAATAAGTCTATATAAATTTCTAGGGAATAAGAGGACAAATAAAGATGGGATATGGAACGGACTCACTCGGTTTTAATCTCGATCCTTGAAGACGACACTTTTTTCGTTGTAATGTCGGGCGGGTCGGGTAGAAAGTCCGAATGATGGAATCTTGTTGGTAAAATTCTTTCACGGCGACTTATAAGACGGCTCTTCTTCCACTTGGGACCATTATGTTCGGTAGCTCAGTAAAATAAAGGTTTTGTTCTTGAAGTTTTATTGTTAAGTGGACTGTATAAAAGTTTTAATGCAATATTAGCCGCGAGTCGCGCGTGCGATTCTATATCGTTCCAGTAGTGTTCTGTGTCGCTGTGTGTGTTCGGTCCTCGCCGCTCGAGTCGTCGATGCCGTGGTGGTGGTTGGACCCCCCCGCAGACCTCGTAGTCCCCGCTTGTACGTGAAGTACTGGCGCGGACAGTGTGTGAGTAAGCAGAATAGGGGCTGCTCAAGACCCTAGCCTGAGCATCAGGCTCATAGCCTGTCGGCTAAATTTAACTAAATGGACGGTGTGGAGAGTTTTAAAAAGAGAAGGACTGCATCCTTACCATTTTCGTAGGGTACAAGAAATACTGGAACTTGACTATACAAGAAGAGAAGTTTTTTGTTCGTGGATTTTAAGAAAAACGCGATCTAACCCAAATTTTTTAAAAAGAATTATGTGGACCGATGAGGCCACTTTCACAAGATCAGGGTATACGAACCACCGCAATGAACATCTGTGGCTTCAAGAAAATCCACATGCAATCCGACCAAGTTCTTTTCAGCACCAATTTTCGGTCAATGTTTGGGCAGGACTGATTAACGATGTCCTTGTTGGACCAATCATTTTACCAGAAACAATGAATGGTCCAAGGTTCCTGAATTTCCTGGAAACGGACTCTTTTGATGCTCTATTGGAGTTACCATTGGCCTACAGAAACAGAATGATTCTGCAACTGGATGGTGCTCCCGCACATTTTGCACTACTTGTGCGAAATCATTTAAATGCGCAGTATTCGCCGTGGGTTGGACGCGGTGGAACAATCTCATGGCCGCCACGCTCGCCGGATTTAACGCCCCTCGATTTTTTTTCTTTGGGGCACAATGAAACAAAAAGTATACGTAAACGTGCCTAATACAAGAGAAGAGTTAATCGCAAACATCATTCGAACAGGGAATGAATTAAAAGAAGACAGGGCGATGATCCAGCGCTCTACGTAACATGTCGCAATAAGAGCAACAGCACGTCTGCAGAGGCGAGGAGGTCACTTCGAACAGTTTCTGTAACTTTTTTGCCAAATTAAATGCAATCCTATCAATAATTATTTTTTTATTTAATTTCTCAGGAAAAACATGCTTTTGAAGTGGCTATGTTTATACTGTCATAGCTCCTAAACTATCTAGCTTAGAGATAAGATTTTAATGTGCATTTTTGGCAAATATCCTGTATTATTCAAAAGAAATAAAAAAACGGATAGGTTAGAACATTGTTTTTTTTTATAGTAAACAATCTGAAAAAAAAAACAATAAATGAAAAAAAACAATTTTTCGTAAATTTGTTTTTGATCTTTTACTCAAGTGTTTTGTCTTGTTATTAAATCTATTTTTTTTGGCTTCTTTGTTAGCTAACATATGATACATCTTTTGTGTTTCTAACACCTCTACTTGGGTAGGTATTGTTAAATTAACACATGCACCTGTGCTTCGGCTACAAAAGTTTTTAAAGGGCTGCCATTTTTTAATAGTTGGATATAAAAAATATTTGATGGCTGATTTGTCGATGAAATTGATTGTATTTTAACCCCATAAAGTCTGGACATTGTATTAGAATGTTTCATTAATAACTCCAATCGTACATTGGATGATCACAGCGGCAGATCCTTATATGAGCGGCATAAATTGGATAAAAATGCACACGTCTAGCCTTTCATGTGAAACTATAAATAGTTTACTGCACAATGAGTTAATTGATTTCATGTCACTCAACAACTTGGCTCAGCACAATTCCTGCTTGAATTCTCAAGGTAAAATATTAGATCTTATATTAAGTACCATAACTATTTCAGAGCTTGAAGCGTGCCCAGATCCACTCTCGGTTATTGACCCTCTTCAGCCTCCACTACAGTTCTGTGTTACTCTTGAGTGCTCTGAGTCCTTACTGCCAATATGCTCTTCTAAATTACATTTTTACAAAGCAGACTATAACAGAATTGTTAGTGACTTAAGTGCTATCCCATGGGAGGATGAATTGACGGCCTGTGCCTTTGTGTTGCTCAGGAAATGCTGTTCTAAGTTATTACATCTAAATTATACCAGATACTTGGAGAATCTAGAGTCGTCTTTATCTTAATCTAAATCTAATCTCTAAGATCTAAATCTTACTCGACACGATACTTGATTAAGCCGTGAGTATGAAATTATTAGTAGGTACTTGGTAGGTACTAGTAGGTATTGGCTACACTTGGAATCAAAAAATAACAGAGCCTCCAAGCTCAATCCCAGAGTCTGCAAAAAGGGGGAGGTGTTATACTCATAAAATTAAAGCAATAATGCTAGGCCTTGCCTCGACAGAGCTCCATATCCACTCGCAATATGAATTCAGTCTACGTCCAGGCTCTGAAGAGAGGTTGCATCAACGAACAATATTCTTAAAAAAAAGGCTCCATTTCTCAGGTTAACAGCACGCGTGCGGAACACACATTGGCGCGTTGCTCTGGATTGGACGAGCAACGCGCCGCCCTCGGTAGCGACGGAACGAGAGAGGGAGAGCTCTTCCCTCTCCGCACCGATCCGTCGCCGTCGAGCCGGGGGCCGGAGGAGAAATTACGCTCGCACCTCCCGGCCCCTGTCGGTGGTGGCTTCCCCCCGGTGAAGGTCACGGGGCGATCTGAGGGGGTCGAGGCCGCGCGCCGCGCTGCCAAGGAGTATCAATAATAGAGCAACCGGTTTGCGGTGTATCGCGTCCCGACCCGGCAGGCTGGTTCTAGTCCAGCGTGATATTCCGGGACACTAGCGACACCGTCTGGGCGGCCTGACGGGCTGCCGTACCGAGACGGCCGACGTTTCAGAAATTCGCCACGAAGGCTCCGTCGGCCGGGTGTCCTTGGGGTGAGCTACGTCATCTGGTTGTAGTGTTGACCACGGTAATCCCCTTACCTCATCCGGATTCTGGCCTCGGAGGGATCGGACGCTTGGACGAAAAGTGCAAGGGTGTCGTTTAGTGGGTAGGGCTCTGAAAACATCCTTCTCGCAGTCACACAGTCACGGACCAGTCCCACATACTCCACTTCTTCCCTACAACTTCACGTATAAAATGTTCTATCTTATACTCTCGCCGGCTGAATCCTATACATTTATCTGTTTGTGTCTCTATGGACTTATTTTTCGTTTAATCGAGTTTGAAATCACAACGATTCCAAAGAAGTTTCACTTCAAAAGAAAAAAAGGTTAACAGCACGCACAGGACAAAGGAAAATAAAACAAAGTACATAGAAATCCACAATATCACGTATTTATTGATCGCTGTGTTCAGTTGCAGTCGGTGAGCGGGTGCGGGGGGAGGGGCGGCAGCGCCACGGACAGGTGCGGCGGCGGCTCCGGCTCGTCCAGGTCCAGCGCCGCGTCGATCATGGTCGTGTCGTGCAGCAGCCGCAGCCGGGACGCGCTCAGCGCCACCGCGCCCCCCGCCCCCGCCCCCGCCCCCGCGCCCGCCCCCGCCGGCTCCACGTCCAGCGACCTGTTCATGTAGGCGTGGCGGGCCGGCTCCGGGGCCACGGTCACGGCTCCCAGCGCGCGGACGAAGCTCGGCGGCAGCTCGTCCTTCACGTCGATCGTGAACACGCCGCGCCTGCAACCAACGTCCGCCGTTAGGCGTCGCCGACAGCCCCGAGCGCGTCCCGAGCGCGCCCCGCGGGGAGCCCCGCTTACCGGTCGATGAGGCTGGGCGCCAGCGGACCGCACAGCACGTACCAGCAGTTGGCGCAGGCGTTACCTCGCGAGTACGGGTTCGGGTTGGACACGCCGCGCCGACTCGAAAATGAACCTTTAATCTGCGAAAAAATAACGGAAGCGTTCTGTCGTAAGCGACGAAAGTGNCGCCGACAGCCCCGAGCGCGCCCCGCGGGGAGCCCCGCTTACCGGTCGATGAGGCTGGGCGCCAGCGGACCGCACAGCACGTACCAGCAGTTGGCGCAGGCGTTACCTCGCGAGTACGGGTTCGGGTTGGACACGCCGCGCCGACTCGAAAATGAACCTTTAATCTGCGAAAAAATAACGGAAGCGTTCTGTCGTAAGCGACGAAAGTGAAAATGCGAAACGGATCGAACAAGAACGAAAAATACCGACGTCCTCGTTGGTGGTCTGGTCGGTGGAGGCGAGGTACGTGTGGAAGCCGGCGAGCCCCAGCACGGACCACACGGACAGGAAGCACACGGCGGCCACCAGCGCCGAGGCGGGGGACGCGTGCAGCGCCGCCGCCACGCCCGCGCCCCGCGCCGCCAGCGCCAGGTGCGTCACGGCGCACGCGAACACGAACACCGCCAGGAACGACAGCGACACCACGAACGTGTAGAACGACCGGTAGTTGCGCTTGCCCACGCAGTTCCCCACCCACGGACAGTGATGGTCGAACCGGTCCACGCAGTTGTCGCAGAGTGAGCAGTGCGACGCGCGCGGAGGTCGGAACATCTTACAGGTGAAGCAGTACTTGAGCTTGACGGGGCGGCCTCGCACGAGCACCTCCCGCGCGCGCGGCGGAGGCCGACCCGCTTCGGCAGCCTCCAGGGCCGCCGCCTCGGCCGTGGCCGCGCGCGGGATGATGCCCGGGTCGGACAGCGCGGTCCGCAGCAGCGCCGCCAGCGTCAGCACGAACAGCGCGGCGCCCACGGCGGGCACGGCGGCCGACACGCGCACGGCCAGGAAGGGACAGTCGAACGCGAAGTGCAGCGCGCACGTGCCGCAGATGAGCGCCAGTGTGAGCAGGAAGACGCCGGGGTGCGGTGCAGTCATGAGCCGCCCGTCGCACCAGAACCGGTTTCGCCCCGCGAACACTTCCCACTTGCGCGTCACGCGCCGCGACGCCATCGCACCATGTCCTGCCGCTCCCACTCTCGCGTTCCCAACTCACGTTTCAGCCTATATAATAATTGTATTTATTTAAATGTGATGGAAACATACGGATCTACAATGCTCGAGTGCACAGGGCTAGAAGTTCTTTACCGGACTACCGAAGACGGATATTGTTTTTCAGGGGTGTCTTTGTTTGACTGATGCTCTACACCTTTTAGATGATTTTAATATATGAGATATCATAGGATTCGTCTGAGTTGTGGAAGCGACAAAGGGTATAATATTAAGTATTCACCAATGAAATTGCTTCTTAGTATACAGAAAGTTAAAATAATTCTTGTTTATTTCTATCATTTAATTGATTATTTTTCCTAATGATCCTTAGAAGAAGGACATGTCCTCATTCAAGGAAGAAAATTAACATTTTTATTAAAATTAATTATTTGTGGTCAAATTATAGACGGCCCTTGTCTTATGAGATGTTATAGGTTTTATGAATTATAAAATTAATAGTATGAAATGGACAAGAGAGCCATCAACGCAATCTTAATCAGGGTGGTAAAACTGTTTATAGCAGTTCATAACACACCCTACCTCTAATACTTAGGCAAAGTTATAAGTTATATGAGCATATGTTTAAGACAGTACTATTCCTTTATCCTATTAGTTATTAATGAGCATGTCGACGGTCCCTACATATAAAGTTTTATTTTTACGTTTACGTTTTATTATTATTTCATAATCATTTTCTATTTGTCAACACATACATTACCATATAATTTTTTTTATTTTATAAGTAAACGTTTTAAAGATAAATGTATAAGATGTCAACTTTTAAAAATAAAAAGACTGTTGATGTAGATACCTTTACGTGAACATTTATATTTTATACGGTTTAAAAAATTATTAAGCTATTGCATAGATTTTATTGCGGGCCATGAGCGCGGCGACCGAATCATGAAATTCCGTAACGAAAAAAACCTTCCACCTCTCACTACGCCTACTATGTAGCTCGCGTTCAACACATTCACACGTTGCGCTTGTGTAGTGTTTGTGAATAAGCGCGTGGCGTGACGTAAAGTGACGTTACACTGCATGCGCATCATGATTTGTATTAATTTAATCAGGCATTGCACCTTGTCATGCGAACCGCCTAAAACTTCTAGTAATATGTAACTAAAACATTTGTGTTCACATATATCTCCGCAAATGTGACGAAACGTTTTTGTATTTCTTTTGTCACATGTCTATAGCGCGTTTTAGAAATACATACCGCGCCATCTATTGACAACAAACAAAACCTTCACGGTAGAAATAGGCAGGAAGGTGGTACCCACCCGCGCAGACTCACAAGAGGTCCTACCACCAGTAAACTCTCCTGTAAAACACCATTTTTGACATGAAGCTTTGTATGTAGGGGCCGTCGATGTGTTAATAGTGATTAGAAAGTATTTACCTACATATAATACTGCCACAGAATGTCACGATGTAGTAGTGTGGCTCGATAGGAGTGAACTAGGTTAAGTGTGTCTTCCGAATTTATGTTAACTTCTGTCCCATAAATTTAAAAAACTGTAAAGGGATTTTTTTTATTATAAGTAGTTTGACTATCAACTTTTACTTGAAATTGTGATAAAACTTATATTTAATGGGCTAGGAGAATTTGTTTTTCAAAATATATTAGGATAAGTGTATTTTTCACAAATAAATAGGCTGGTGCAGTCACTAAATATTAAATATTATATTATCAAACTTATGTATACATAAATGGACAAGAAAAAGAAAAGTTAAGTATGATTTTCTCAAAACAGTAGGCAGTAGCTTTAGTATGCCTCTGGCGAAGCAGATATCTATAAGGCACAGATCACTAAAGAGTAGGCTGTTTCCTTAGTGCAATAAAAAAGTTTAGTCAGCATCATATTTATTAAAGATTAGTAATCTGGAATAAATATACATTACATAATAGCTAGCTAATATACTTTAATGTCTAAAGGTCATGTGCGGTGCACACTCAAAGAAAATTGTAACCTTAGCTAGCTTTCAGTAATTTATGGCTGTGAAAATACATAGGTGACACAGTAAGAGATCTGACAAACCGACAATTAACACTGTCTTTGGGCTGCAATAGTTACATTGTACCTACAGTTTAATCTCACTAATTTTGCTTTTTACTTATGCTATAATTGGATATCAAACACTTTAAGAATTTATTTATCCAATCAGTAACTTTATTTTTATTATGTCTACTCTGACAAATATCAATCCTAGAAACTTACAAAAATATTTTCTAGCATCAACCATCCTTATGTGTGATTGGTGGTTGAAATAGAAGATCAATATAAATATAAATGTTTATAATTTCACATATTTTTCATATACAATTACAATATGTTTAACCAAAAAGTTTAAAAAAGAGAACTGATTTTATACCTGCTACACATATAGCCAATAAATAAAACCACCTGGTTTATTTATCTCCTGGTATCAAGCTTTCCTAGAATTATAAAACTTAAGGAGTCTATTATTTATTATTGTTTGTATTGTATTGTATGTTTATTTCAAAAACAAAGTGGGTTTTTTTCTATACTTAAAAAATATAAGTTTTTACTTTCCAATACAATGGTGATGTTCATGAACAGAAAACTATTAACTGAAAGTAGACATGTGATGTTAGCACCTAATACTGTTCCCCTTGAAGAATGCTTAAACAGCCAATGACAAAGCTATGTTGTGGTGTCAGAGTAACTAGGGCCTATTCAAATCAGCAGTTTAAGTGGTTCAACTAAGGCTTGTTCGGCAGTTGGGAGTTCGCATTTAATGTTAACGCTTGGAAATAAGTTATAATGCCAACGATTCCCTATTCAAGTTCTTTGTAGACAAATGTTTGGTTTTGACTAATTATAATGACCTTACCTTTCTCAAGATTTCCCCTTTGATAGTTGTTAGTTCCGAAATCGATTACAATTTATCTTGTATTCTATTGTTGTTAATCACAAGAATTCTATTTCAAAACAAAAAGTTGTGAAAACAAATTAAATTAGTTTTGAATGTTTANGCCAACGATTCCCTATTCAAGTTCTTTGTAGACAAATGTTTGGTTTTGACTAATTATAATGACCTTACCTTTCTCAAGATTTCCCCTTTGATAGTTGTTAGTTCCGAAATCGATTACAATTTATCTTGTATTCTATTGTTGTTAATCACAAGAATTCTATTTCAAAACAAAAAGTTGTGAAAACAAATTAAATTAGTTTTGAATGTTTATTGTAGACTTGTTTCTCGTGACATCACCATCGTATGTTTTATCTTATCTTTCTTTGAAATCAGCACTTTAGCACAGTGATATTGATTTCTGTCAATTTAAAACGTATATCTAATTTCAAATTGAGAAATTGTAGGTAACAAACTTAAACTTGTTTCTTTATTTTCATCTAGAATGAATGAAAGAATGATTTTTGTAAGAATGAGAATATTACAACGTTGACAAATGGTAGTTAAAATTTTAGGCTTGACAGCGCACCACAGAATAGAAAGGAATTTATGTATGTAGGCACTACATACATAGACCCTGTTTTCCAATTACAGCACAAGAGCGCATTAAGCGGCATAATGCTCAACGTTGAATGATTCAACTACAGCAACGCTTCGCACAATCGAGCACTCTCAAAAGTAATATTAAGTTAAGTTTATTAAGTAATAAGTTTGATAAAGGTGATGCCAGTGCTATCCTAATACTTACCACCAATATGCAAGAAGACACACTTCGAAAAGTTATGCGGTTCACTAAAGTACGTGATGTCTGGTTAGAGCTCCACAGGCTGTTCGGCGCAAAAACGAGGACAAAACCTATAACCTGTGTATGAGTTTCTTCAGCTTTAAGAAGGATCAAGCAGACGACATAGCCACCCACACATCAAAATTAAAGAGCATTTGGACTGAACTGAATCAAGAACTCAAGAAGGACAGTAACCAAGAGCTACCCGAACTGCTACTTGCTTGTAAAATACTGGACACACTTGACGATTCATACTTCAGCTTCAGAAGTAGTTGGCTCCTCCTGTCCAAATCCAACCGTACTATAGAAAACCTAACCAGTCATCTCTGCGCATTTGAAAGGGCACTGCAAGGTAATAATGCACCCTTGCATCAATCGGAAGCCTTGGTTTCGAATACGAAGAAGAAGAAGAAGGGCAAGTAGCTTAAATGCAACTACTGCCTGGGTATTGACCACAAAGTACGCAACTGTCAAAAATGGATCCGCGACGGTAGACCTCCTAATAGCCAAAATCCGGACCAGACAGCAACGCTTTCTACTTCAAAGACCGCTAACTTGTTACTCATGTCTTTAGAAGACAACGAAATCTTCACCGTTTCACGGGACAACGAGAACTGGTACATCGATAATGGCGCAACAAGCCACGTCACCAACAGATCTGATATTTTCCAAGCCTACGAACATTTCAATGAGAACTACACTGTTACAACGGCCACTGGTAATGAAGTCCGTGCCAAAGGCAAAGGAAAAGTACAGCTCAGAGGATAATATGTTAACGAGAAACAAATCGACATCAGCCTGTAAGACTTCCAGCCATAAGCAAGAACCTTTTTTCCGTACTAGCACTTCACGACCGAGTCCCGAACAGCACCTTTTCATCCAGGACAACTGAATGCAACGTCATTGTCAACGGAAAAATATGCTTAATAGGGAAGAGATAAAATCAAGGTGGCTCATATCGACTGAAAGTAAAACCCGTACTTTTAGAAACACCACCCGAAGTCTTTACAACTACAGCAACGATGCAACTGTACCACGAGAGACTCGCTCACTAAAATAAAAGATACGTAAGAGCGACGAACCAACGGGAACTAGCTCTAAACCAGCCGATGGATAAAGAGACCTGTGAAGGCTGCATTTTTGGAAAGGCGCATCGATTTAAATTTGGTAGAAGAACCCGAGCTACCGCGCCCGGAGAAATCGTACACCCTGATGTTTGTGGACCGTTTCAACCTAGCTTCTCAAATTATCAGTACTACGTTTTGTTTAAAGACGATTTTACTGGCTACCGTACGGTGTACTTTATACGCAAAAAGTCACAGGTCAAAAACAAGTTAGTTTTAATTATTGCTCAAACTTAAACAGTCGGACACACCATAAAATGCCCACTAAGTGACAACAGCGGTAAATTTGACAACGCGTCTTGAAATAGTGTTTTAGCCACTCGTGGAATAGTACAGCAACTCGTCACCCCGTATACACCGGAACAAAACGGAGTAAGCGAAAGAGAGAACAGAACTCTAGTTGAGACAGCACGATCAATGATATAATAATATCCTCATGAGCCACTACCGCAAGAGCTATGGACAGAGCTCATTAATACCGTGGCATACATTCTGAACGGAACAGGTCCCACAAGTTCAGATAAATATCCGCATGGACTTTGGTATGGAAAGAAACCTATTATTAAAGGCGATAAAACGTCGAATTATCGGGTACGACGAAGATTGCTACCGTATCAGGGTCACAGATGAAAATACTCTACGCTCGTCCGCTCTCACGTAATCTTCGATGAGAAACCTAATCCCATCTGTAATAGTGAAATTCCTAAAACAGAAGTTGAGACAAGAGAATACCCGATTACCATAACGCCAAACACGAACTCAGAAAGAGAAGTTGCAATTCCAGAGCAAACACACGTTCACGAGGGAAATACAACTATGAAAAGGGACGATTGCGAAGAATGGCAAAGGCCAATGGATAGCGAATTAAAATCCTTCGAAGACCTGAACGTTTGGACGCCGTGTGCATTGCCAAAAGGACGAAAAGCGCTTCCCTGCAAATGGGTTTTATGGGTCAAACGAAATTCAGATGGCACGATCGACCAATACAAGGCTCGACAAAAGGGTACAGACAAAGGAAAGGAGTAGACTATGACCAGACCTTCAGTCCTGTGGCACGCCTGACTACTCTACGAGCACTACTCAGTGTTAGTACACAGGAAAATTTACACCTGGTCCGATTCAACGTCTGCACTGCCTTTCTGAACGGAAAGTTCGAGAAAGAAATATACGTTAAACCGCCAGAAGGGTGCAACCTCACGGAAGGAACATCTACGTCTACTGTTTTCAAGCATAATCGTAGCCTGTACGGACTTAAACAAGCACCAAGGTGCTGGAACTCTTGCTTTCAAGATATCCTATTGGATGTCAGCTTCAAACAGTCCGATGCTGATTGCTGCTTATATTCAAAGAAGTTAATGGAAAGAAACTACTGATCTCGTTGTATGTCGATGACAGATTAGTAGCTGCCACTGATGAAGACACGGCTAAAGCCTTCTTAGTTAGAACATTCGAAGAAGAGACTGCGCATAACGACGAAACCAGTGACATATTATCGTGGTCTTCCATCGGTAATCCGTCGAGGAAAGGATGGCTCCATCTTCATCAATCAAGAGGCATACGCGAAAAAGGTATTAGACCGCTTTCAAAAGAGTGACTGCAATCCTGTTTTCACACCGATTAAGAGAGAGACTCTTCAAGAAGGGAAAGAAGAAACGGAAGATTCCTGTTTCCCGTATAGAGAAGCTGTCGGTGCTCTGGCATACTTAATGGCTGGTACTCGGCCTGACATTGCTTTATGCTATCGGAGTTGTCTCAAAAAAGTTGGAGAAACCTGCACAGAAAAATTGACTCAAGGTAAAACGTATCTTACGCTATATCAAAGGTACCATTTCGCATGGGATCTTCTATAAAGCTGGTCTCAAATCTGGAATCCTAGAAAGATTTAACGACGCTGACCACGGAGGCGATCCAGAAACTGGACGTTCCACGACGGGAGTAATCGGTCGCTATTCTGGAAGCACAGTTTCATGGATCAGCCAGCGACAAACATCATTCGCTATCTCCACTACAGAAGCCGAAATTGTGGCAGCCAGTGAAGTTGGCAGAAAACTAGAAATATATCAATAATTATATAACAAAACGCAGGAACGCGATGAGTGAATTTGAGTGATGTTTTTTTGTCTATTTAGTGTTTCTTCAGGTTTAAATATGCAATAACGGTGGTTTATTAACTGCTTAGTAACTGTGAAAGTGCACAAATGTAGGAAAATCAAACAAAGCCGCGTATCTTCTCGGGATCCTCCAAAAAACCCACTGAAAGTCTCAGTAAACGACCACCATTTTACTGAGATTATAATATTTCATTCCATATCATGTCATTTAATTTCATGCCAATTGATTAAGTTTCGTTCGTTTATTATTATTCATCAACTGTAAATAATTAAAACGGCGCGAATTAAAAATCTTATTACTTGACATTGGCTAATGCACAACCCGTCCCGGAGACAAAAATAAAGAAGAAGAAGAACTACCTGTGTCAAATTCACTGAAGTAGGAAACTATATAGGTCTATGGTCAAATTAGTCTATGATAGTGTAATTTTTAAACTAGTCTGTGCCAAATGCCAAATGCCAAATGCCAATGCCACATGCCACATGCCACATTCACATTAAATAAAAATGAAATTGTTCCGTGTTACATTACAATATAATATAAGCAAGCCTGATTACCAAAAATGTATATGTTACACAAAATTATCTCGTGTATTGTACGGAATAATAATGAATTATTGAATTAAAGATCTTCAGTGATTCTGTGATAGCAACTTTGCTTTAGAGTACTTTCTGATAAAAAAAAAGCGCAATGGGTACAACCGGCTCCAGGCGCGAGACACTAATAGTTGGCTTCCTGTGCGCAGCGTGGTATATGTTAAGTTCAGCCAGTAATGTCGTGGGCAAACTGGCATTAACAGAGCTACCATTTCCACTAACTATGACAGCGGTACAGCTGTGTGCAGTGGCCTCGCTGAGTGTACCCGCGCTAGCCCTGTGTGGAGTACGTTCGACGCGATGGCCGACGAACTATTGGACCCGTGTCTTAGTACCCTTGGCGATCGCCAAACTTCTTACCACACTGTGCTCGCAAGTTTCCATTTGGAAAGTGCCAGTCTCCTATGCCCACACAGGTTTGTTTGTTGTACAGTTGTGACCATTACACTGACGGAAAACTCATATTCCTTCATTATAGACCTTCACCATCAACCTTTGAAGCTATTTTTAATTAGATCGACTTGGTGGTACAGTAGTTAATGCCCTTTACTGCTAGACCAAAGATAGCAGGTTTGATACCAGCATCAGGAAAACGTTTGTGTCATGACCAACTTTCTTTGCTCATTGTCTGGGTGTCTAATACCTAATAATATTTGTATACCACTCTGTCAAGAAATTATCTGAAAAAGAGATCAATAATACACAAAATGTTAGTTATTCATCCCAATTTATTTTATCTATTTCGAAGTATCCTCCTTTAGAAAAGATACACTTATGACAATGAAGAATCCAATCATCAAAACATTTTTTAAATACTTTTTCAGGAATTGAGTTCAGTTCTTGCCACAAATTCTCATTTATGTCTTCTACTGAATGAAAATGGTGCCACAAAGTGGTAATTTGAGTTTAGGCGAAAGAAAGAAGTCGGCTGGACCCAAATCTGATGAATAATGTGGTTGAGTATGGTATTTGTTGAGTTTTTGGTCAAAAATTCATTCACAACCCATTTGTGAAAGTGCAAAATAAAAGATTATAGATTTTTAACAAACACCATTTTTTTAGCAGGACTAAAACTTCATTTTCTACGAATAGTTAAGGTTAACACTAGAACATAAAAAAAACGGTATTCAAATTAGCGCAGACTACAGTGTACAGTGCACAGTGAACAGACTTCGTCTCGCTTACAGTGAAAGCGACGACTCCTCTCTGGACGGCGGGGCTGGCTCGCGTACTGTTTGGGGAGCGCGTGTCTCGCGGCGTGGCGGGCGCGCTGCTCGTGATCGCGGGAGGGGTCGCGCTCGCCTCGCTCACCGAGCTGCAGTTCGATGCGCTCGGGCTGGGAGCCGCGCTCACGTCCGCCGCGCTGTTGGCGCTGCAGCATCTGTATTCGAAGCGGGCGCTGCAGGACTCCGGCGTGCACCACTTGCGACTGCTGGCGACGTTGTCGGGTCTGGCGCTGGTGCCGATGGCTCCGTTGTGGTTGGTGCGGGACGCCGGCGCCGTACTGCGCGCCCAGGTGGCGTGGAACCGCGCGGGCCCGCTGCTGCTGGCGGACGGGGTGCTGGCGTGGCTGCAGGCGGTGGCTGCGTTCTCGGTGTTGTCGCGAGTGTCGCCGCTGACGTACTCAGTGGCGTCGGCTGCGAAGCGCGCCGTGGTGGTGGGCGCGTCGCTGGTGGTGCTGAGGAACCCGGCGCCGCCGCTGAACGTGGTGGGCATGTCGGTGGCAGTGCTGGGTGTGCTGGCTTATGACCGAGCCCGAGCGGCCGCCCGCCGCGCCCCCCGCCCCGCGCTGCCAGTCTGACATTCGATCACTTTAATGTTCGAACGCTGTTTCTTATGTCACAATAAACTTTTATTTCTACCGTTTGGTTTCATTCATATCCTTGAGATCCAAGAGTTTTAACCAGCAAAATTAAAAAAATATATGTTTATATGCCACCTCGAGAGAGGTCAAAGTTACATTTTTTTTGTTTAAGTTCTGTCCCGCCCTGATCGCCGGAACACGCCCCACAAGTTAGTGAGTTCACGATTGACTTCCACGGTAAAGAAATAATATCCTGTAATAAAAATCAAACCCGCAAAATTATAATTTGCGTAATTACTGTGGTAGGACCTCTTGAGTCCGCACTGGTAGATACCACCACAGGACTGAAGTATTGTTAAAATAACAAAGGGGAATTCCTATCCTAACGGAACACATTAAATTACCGAAATATAAATTATTCCTTTTACGTGTTAATCCTAGAAATGGTCTATCGATATGCTACATTTTATCCAAATTTGTATAATTGAGTAGTCACCATTCAACATCTTTACAAATATTTACATTCATATTTTTCTTGTAGAGGTAGGCGGACAAGCTCTCAGCTCGCCTGTTGTTATGTGGTCATCAGAGCCCATAGGCATCAACAACGTAAAAGCCGCCCAGGCGCCCACCCACCTCGAAACATGTTTAAAATTTTAGTTTTTTAGTAAAACACCTGCCCCAGCTTTCAAATCGAAACCCTTTACGGCAGACATAGGCAGGGCGGTGATACCTACCCGCGCGGACTCACAACGCCCTACCACCACCAATGTTAAGCATGCAGCTTAATGAAAAGCAGTTAACACTTATATCTACACCCACAACTTTTAGCGTCTGACCTTGGGCTTTATTTATTATGATCACGAAGCATAGGCTCACTGGAAACGCGATCGGTAGTCAGTTGTGCTTCCCGTTCTTCTAGTGTCTCTCGAGACCGGGCATGCTTTTGTTGTCCGAACCCTCTGAGAGCTCAGGCGGGATTCCCTTATTAGTGAAAGTCTCAGACTCACGCGATAGTGTATAAGATTCACGATCGATGGGCAAACTTGCGTCACGCTGTTCCCTGTTAACCCAATTCGAGTGGCCATTATTTGAGAACAATGTGAACTCAATCGAGATTCTCGCTGAGCCGAAGTTTCTCTAACACGAAACCTCGCCTGACGTTCCTGAGATGTAGTGAGTATTGCCTCATGACCTGCTTCAGATTCCTGTGATCGAACTAATTTTATCCTTTTAGCATTCCTGCTTGCACTGGGAGAGGTTGGATCTTTTTCAAGGCATTCTTATAATAAGTAGTACCTAGTAACACAACATTGTTTGGTAAACACGTACTTATCATAAAACTAAATTATAAATACTTACAGATTATTACACAGTTTAACTTTATTACAGTTATAATACAACTATTATAAGACGTTTCAACCTAATCTTTTAACTATAGAAAACAACCGTGCCTATGGGTTAACTTACTCGTGGAGCCCTCGGCCGGCAAGGAGGCAGCGGCGCGCTCTGTATACGGGCGCGGCTGCACAGACGTAAACAATCTACAAACGCCCAGCTACGTTATTCTTTAAATTGGCCTAACTTTTTTTATTTATGAACCGATTGGCATGAAACAAACACTAAGTGTTAAGTAAATCTTACCACAATAAATTAGTGAAAACCACATTGAAATCGGCAGAGCTGTTTCTGAGATTAGCGTGCACAAACGCACCGCAAAACAGACAAAAATTCTAAAAATCATTCTTTTGGGTTCTATTGCGTTCATAAAGCCCCCTATAAGTTTTCCTGAGATATCTTCCATGTACAGACAGCGACCAGTTACGATTTTATTATATGTATGATTATCAAAAAAAAATAGTTGCGAAATACTTAATCAAATTGTTTAAATTAACAACCAATATTGTTATTTATGTATTTATAATATAATATTATTGGCATTTTTCTTAATTTTTTATTCGTAAGTGATAATTCAGTGAAGCCGCTGCAATCATTTTGCGGTAAATAATTAGTAGAAACTTACAAAGAACTGGGTGAACAGGAAGTAATGACCAGATCTGACAATTTCTTAGTTTTTTTAATAATATAAATATAAATTATTTACAATAAGACTAAGGTTTGTTTGAGCACTCGACACAAACACTCGGTTCGCAGTCACTACACTCTACAGCTCGTCGCGCTCCGGCTCCGCGTCGGCCTCGGCGTCGGCCCCGGTGTCGGCCCCGGTGTCGGCCTCGGTGTCGGCCTCGGTGTCGGCCTCGGCGTCGGCGTCGTCGTCGGCCTCGTCGTCGAGCTCGGGCGCGGCGTCGGCGGGCAGGCCGAGGGTGCGCTGCAGCATGGTCTCGACGGAGTCTGCGAAGAGCACGGCCTGTCCCTCCTGCAGCACGTAGCCGGAGCGCAGGGCGGCGGTGCGGTAGAGGGTGTGGGCGGCCAGCAGCGCGTCGGCGGAGTCGGGGTCGTCCTGCACGCGGCGCAGCAGCTCGGCCACGATGGGGTGGCGCGGGTTGATCTCCAGCATCTTCTTCTGCGTGAGGTGGTGGCGGCGCTGCGGGTCGTCGGCCTTCTGGTGCGCGTTGGAGAGGGCGAGGCGCTCCATGTTGCCGGTCCAGCCGAAGGCGGTGGCGGCCAGCGCGGCGGGCGAGCGGGCCAGGCGCCGCGACACGGTGGCGCGCGTGATCCAGCTGCCCAGCTTGTCGCCCAGCCAGCGCGTCAGCGGCTCGTACTGCTTCTTGTAGGCCTCCAGCTTCTCCTTGGCGCGGTCGCCTGTCCGCGCAGATCAACACTTTAGATTCGTTTCGATGATGATTACCAAACGTAAGTAAGAGTGGAGTGCCGCGCTTACCTTCCTCCAGGTCGAATATTTCCTTGGCGATGTTCTGGAACTTGTGGCCGTCGTACTCGGGCAGCGAGGAGAGGCAGTACTCGTCCACGGCCTCGGTGAGGTACAGCACCTCGTAGCCGCGGCTCACCAGGCGCTCGGCGAACGGCGACTTCTCCACCTGCAACCGGCGGCTCGGTCAGCACCCGCGGGAAACATTCTTCCGAACATTTTTAACATCAACAGGACGTAAAGTGTGAAAATAAAAATATTTGCATCTGTAGCAGTTTTCAAAGAATCTCAGAAGGTACCACGGTTCGCAGATTTATAATGAATGGGCATCAGTCCCGCGCGACACTGACCTCAGCGCGGCTGGAGCCCGCGATGTAGTAGATGTGGTGTTGCTTGGGCTTCATGCGCTTCACGTAGTCTGACAGGAAGGTCTTCTCCTCCGAATGGGAAGAGTGGAACCGCAGCAGCTTGGCAAGACGGGAGCGGTTGCTGGGATCTTCCATCACCCCGAGCTTGATGCTGTAATGGTATCATCGTAAATGATTAAATTGCCGAGTGCGGCCCTCAAACATTCACACATCAGAACTGTTGCCAAAATAATACTAACTTGGTGGAGTACTCCTTCCAGAAGTGTTCGTATTCATCGTCAGGAATCTTTTTGAGCATGTCGAGCACCTTGCGCACGAGCTTCTTCTTGATGATCTTGATGAGCTTGTGTTGCTGCAGCGTCTCGCGGGACACGTTGAGCGGCAGGTCGTCGGAGTCCACGATGCCCTGCACGANCACACATCAGAACTGTTGCCAAAATAATACTAACTTGGTGGAGTACTCCTTCCAGAAGTGTTCGTATTCATCGTCAGGAATCTTTTTGAGCATGTCGAGCACCTTGCGCACGAGCTTCTTCTTGATGATCTTGATGAGCTTGTGTTGCTGCAGCGTCTCGCGGGACACGTTGAGCGGCAGGTCGTCGGAGTCCACGATGCCCTGCACGAAGGCGAGGTAGTTGGGCATGAGGTCGCTGAACTCGTCCGTGATGAACACGCGCCTCACGTACAGCTTGATGTGGTCGGTCTTGGTGCCGTACTTGTTGAAGCTGTCCGCGGGCTGCACGCGCGGCACGAACAGCAGCGCGCGGAAGGTGACCTCGCCCTCGGCCACGAAGTGCGCGCGCGCCAGCGGAGGCGACTCGTCCTTGGTGAGGCTCTTGTAGAACTGCGCGTACTCGTCGTCCTGCACCTCGCTGGGCTTGCGCGTCCAGATCGGCTTGTTGTCGTTCATGAGCTCCCAGTCCCAGACGGTCTTTTCGGTCTTCTTGGTCTTCGGTTCGGCGTCGTCCTTGGCGTCCTCGACCTGCGCGTCCTCGTCGCCCTCCGCGTCGCGCTCCTCCGCGGTCTCCTCCACGGGCTCCTCCACGGTCTCGGTGCGCGAGGCCCACAAGTAAATGGGGAAGTTGATGAACTGCGAGTACTTCTTGACGAGCGCGCGGATGGTGTCCGCCTGCAAGTAGTCGCTCGCTTCCTCTTTCATGTGCAGCCTGAAACAATACGACATTGACATAGAATCACGTGTGCGTACGCAAGCACATTAGTGGAGAGGAGTGAGAGGGGCCTCACGTGAGATGCGTGCCGCGCTTGAGGGTGTCGCCGCGCGGGTCCTCGGCGACGCTGAAGGAGTTGGCGTCGGACTGCCACACGTGCTGGCGGTCGTCGTTGTGCTTGGAGGCGACGGTGACGCTGTCGGCCACGAGGAAGGCGGAGTAGAAGCCGACGCCGAACTGGCCGATCATGTCGTTCATCTCGGGGGCCGCGCTCTTCTCGCCGTCTTGCATCTTGGACAGGAAGTCCGCGGTGCCGGACTTGGCGATGGTGCCGAGGTTGTTGATGAGGTCGGCGCGCGTCATGCCGACGCCGGAGTCGATGATGTGCAGCAGCCGCTTGTCGGGCTCGGCCTTGATGCGGATGCTGAGCTCCGGGTTCGCTTCCAGCACGCCGCGGTCCGTCAGCGACATCAGACGGATCTTGTCCAACGCATCTGAACCGTTCGAGATCAACTCGCGGAGGAAGATCTGAAAATTAATAGATTATTATTCCGGCTGACTTTGCGGTCATCATCGAAAAATACAAATGCACATTCTACAATCTAGAGATTTATTGAGTGACTTCAATTATGTGATTTTTGTTAATTACGAAAGTAAAAATAATAATGACCTTGTTATTTATAATATTTAAGGTTAATTTCATTTCGGAACCATCTTATGTCGTTATAATTATGTTATACCCAGTGTTGTGGATCATCGGGCGACCGAAGTCATCCATCCAGACAAATGTTTAGACCTGTTTTTTTCCTTCTTTCGAGTAATGTTAATCTGGTCCAATTCATTTTTAATCAATCAATCAATTGATTTTATTTTTTATTTTTAACACTATTTGCGCTATCCCGGTGTAAGACAGAGGCCTATCCGTTGCCGGGCGACAGGATAATAGGTATATATTTTTTCGTTCGATATCACACATCTCTTTTTTCTTTGGTGCGTTTGACGAATTTTCGGATTGTTTTTGATAATGTTTTATTAATACGGAACGAAGAGGCAACCGATGTCAATTTCAAAACATAACCAACTACAAGCAACAACGACGTGAGTGAGATCGAAATTGTTCAATCGGTCCACTGAGCCGCCCTCGGGGCTCATCTCACTCCCGACTGCCGCGTCGAGTCGTGGCGAGCTGTACATGTGTACGTCATAAATTAATCAGTGATGCCTTGGCGTAATTAAAATTCAGGTGAGATTTTCCACTAGATTACGTCTAAAACTACTGTCATATTTCAGTCTGGTCTAAAGGAGAGCCATTTGTTGTGACTGATTTAGTGGACAGTCATGATGGTTTAGCGCCTGTGTTAGAGCGTGCGACCAGTCGTTACTTTCATTTTTTTTGCAACTTTTTTTCTCAGATCTAATAAAATAATTGGGTAGTTAATGCATTTAATTAGGTACTTTACCTATTTACAAATAGTATGAAGTGTGAAATGTTATTAATATTCCAACCTCTTTATTTCTGTAGAGCGAGTTGATGATGAGCTTCATCATGCGGTTGACCTCCGTCTGGAACGTGTAGTTCTGCGCGCGGTCGCGCAGCTCCTTCATCTGCGCCACGCTCAGCGCGTCCGGGGAGATGGCCTCCTCCTCGCGCAGCACGGCCTCGGCGTCTGCGGAGGGCGAGGCACGGTGACGTCACGGTGACGTCATGTCCCGCTCGAGCGGCTCGGGACGAGAGCGGAGTGTGCAGAATGCGGATGCTCCGCGAGCTCTGCACGCCCGTTCTTTCAAACTACGATTTGCCGCGCAAAGGGAGGTCGGACGTTCCTACGTGTCTCTCGTGAAACCATTAGGATTACGTATGTCTCTCTGAATGGATTGGACGTTAAGTTGCTGGTCTCCGGAAGTCATGATGCTATTTGTGTACAGCGGCAACGGTGACGGACAAGTTCTACAGCAGGCCGCAGGGCGGCGAGCTGCAGGAGGAGAGCGCCCTCAGCCGCATCGACAACATGTTCGCGCTGGGGCCGCGGGATAAATACCAAGAACCGTCCACCTCAGCACAAGAGTTAGTTGTGTTTCCTATTCAATTTGCTCTAGATATGTAACCTACACGGGTCTTCAACTTTATTTCATTTCATTTAAATTTCAACACTACACTGAACTGCACCAGTCTCCTTTATTGCCATTGTGCGCAGACGAGCGCGGCGTCGCTCACAGACACCAGTAATGCCAGGGACGAGCCGCTGCCTCACAAACACAAATTTTGGAAATTATAAATGAAAAATAATTATCTTCAACATTAGTTTTTAAATTTTATTTTGTTTCAGTTAGCATATGTTATGTTCTTTTCAAATAAATTGGTTTGTTGATTTTATTACATAGTTTTTAAACAACAGATATGGATGGTGGTGCAGTGAGCCATGTAAAGGGGATGCTGTGCTCCAACATCACATCAGAGATTCAGCCTGGCTTAAAGAAAGGCTGCGGGTGCTAGCTGCTGATGATAAACTGAAGCTTAAATAATTTATTGCAGCTTCAGTTCAGTAATGAAATTGTGTTCTAAAGGATAAGAAACCTGGTGCGATGCCTTTGAAGGCAGTAGGTTTTTCTGGAATTTGACGAATTATTTCCATGGTGAAGGAATAACATCATGTAATAAAAATCAAACACGCAAAAATTATAATTTGCGTAATTACTGGTGGTAGGACGTCTTATGGGCCCGCACGGGTAGGAACCACCGCCCTGCCTGTTGCTCCCGTGAAGCAGTTAATACTTCTCAGTTTTAAAGGCGGGGCAGTCATTATACTGGAAAAACAGATTTGGAACTAATGTCTCAAGGTGGCGGCATTCACTTATGGTGTCTCCGGTGACCACTTAACTTCAGGTGTGCAGTGAGCTCGTCCACCCACCTAAGCAAGTTTTTTTTATCAAAGACACCTTTGAGCAGCAGTGCTGTCCTCTTCCTTCTTTATTTTTAAAAGAGACTGTTTAATTTAGATCAATAATATTAAATCAATAGGTATACCTTTACATTATCAACAAATAAAATACACCGTCGATTATATTGCGCATTCATTGTGAAATTCTTTGCTCTACTTCCAAATATTTATAGAGGAACCTTAATACATTCTTATAGCAAATTGGTTGGTAAATTTTCCTGAACTATTAGAGTGAATGTGTTTGACTAGGAGCCCTTGTGGGCAGAACTCATTATGATCACGGTGACCAACAACAATTATACTTGCCATGGCTCCCTGACAAAAATTTGTATAATACCACTTCTCATTTTGTAAAGAACTACTTGATTGGGTTATTATTAACAGTGATGTATTATAATTAATATTCTATTATTAGTATTGTGTGAGTTTCAATGTTGTGTTGTATGTTGCAAAAAAATTTTTGGTATACAATTACTCTTCTGTTACTTGCATACATTTAATTTTCAGTATTCTTATTCATTTCACTCTTTCTGGAACTATGTAACTTTACTACTGATTGTATCTTTATACTTAAGCAAGCTGTAACTTTATCATTATCTAACAAATAAACTAAAATTAATTTTGAATTATTATTCAACATTTTACAATCATCACGCAATATTAAATATGATAATATCGATAAGGTATCTATAATCCTCAGGATTTGATTATTTGAAATTAAATTTACTGCTTATAATGTGGAACCTTCATAGGTAATTTTATAAATGATAATCAGGATTATTGAACACATATTATGAACTTCAATTAAATTTATGGCAAGTTTCTTTACTATATTTAGTGTTTGTAGTGATCAATTTATTACTAGCCCTTTTTATGTTTGAGTACTGTTAAAAGATACTTTACTGACCAGTGCGGGATCCTTCTCTGGATGAACCCAGGTCGGCATCAACTGTGACCTCTTCCACTGTGCCAACCCCTTCTTGAGCCTGGCTCCATCCTGTATGTGTAATAAAGGATGTATAGTTTAACATGGGGTGTTGATAAACTTAAGTTAATTTAGTCTAAAACTACAGGATTTGTAGTTTAAAAATTAAANGTTAAAAGATACTTTACTGACCAGTGCGGGATCCTTCTCTGGATGAACCCAGGTCGGCATCAACTGTGACCTCTTCCACTGTGCCAACCCCTTCTTGAGCCTGGCTCCATCCTGTATGTGTAATAAAGGATGTATAGTTTAACATGGGGTGTTGATAAACTTAAGTTAATTTAGTCTAAAACTACAGGATTTGTAGTTTAAAAATTAAAGAAACATGCTTAAATGGCAAACTGAACTAACAACTAATTTCATTTTCTTTTCCTGTTGATACATGTCAGGATATTAGGGTAAAGTTATATGATTGTATTGTAACTAGTCCTTGATATGTGTGCAAATTTTCAAGTGAACTGGACATTTCCAAGTTTGTAAAAATTTTATTAAAAGATATGATTGCAGATAGATACAGATCAATTGAAACCATATTAAAATTTAATTGATAGTGTTTCATTTTTTTCTTGTTCTGAAATATATTTTTTTTCTCCCATTTCTTGGCCTGCACGGTTTGTGCATCAGCCATGCAAACTTGTTCTGAATTATTCATTTCAATAGTAATCTAACACATTTTTTACTCTTACCATTCAGATGTCATTTGAGTCATATCAACTTTGGTCATACAGTTAAATTATGGTGTAATAGCTGTATTTACCTATGGGTCTATCACATCAATGGGCATACTTACTAAATATTATGATTGTTTATATACATTCATTAGCATCAGTCCAGTATTCACAGAAAAAAGAAACAGCTCTTCCGATCTATCTCTTCCAAAATATAATTATAGTTATAAATGCTTTCAAGTGCAATGACATGCGCACAGTCATGCAGCTGCCCATCACTGAACACTTTTCATATACTTCGTTTAAAGGACATACAGGAAACGTCATATTGGAAAGTTCATTGCAAAGCCGGATAGTGCGTGGCCAATAGAGCGCTCGGCAAACGCACTGCAAGTTAAAGCAGTGGTTTGAGGTAGCATGGAAGAATTCAATTTTGGTTGCTCACGTTTTCGCGTTTTTTTTCTTTTTAAGAAACTTCGTGATGGGATGTATTAACATGATTAGATCTGAAATCGATTTGTAATAACTTGTTTTTGAAACGAGGTGTTTATATGATGCGAAAGTTCTAGTAAGTTTGATGACTAGAATTGGGCTACGGTTAAGTGAACGCCTACATTTTAACTTTTTAAATTAATAGTTCGTTTCAGAACCAATGTCGTTTCAGTGACACAGAACGTTGTTTGTTACAATCTATGAATTTATACAAGTTTTAATTTGCAACGTCGACAAGCTTGACAAGCTTACGACTTACCTGAAAGCAGCAGGACGCCGAGCCCGAAAAGCCAAATATGTTTCATCGCTGGAGTCAAGAACATCCAACGTGATTTAGATGTCAATTATTCTCTGTTTAAAAATTGTAGAAAATGTTAATTAACACAGGTTCCCAGTTTTAATGTACTCTCAACAGACCCGTTAGGCTATTCGGCATTTCAGTGAACTTGATCATGTACTCTTGACATTTAGAAGTGTTCGACATTAATTCTTATTGGTGAGGGCTAGAGAATCCATCTGTGCTGTACCAATCATTTACAACCACGCAACAAGTTTGACAAATCACAGATAAATAAATACAAATGTCTCTGTTTCATTGGTAGGTCTATCTTTTTTTTGAGTAGTGACCGCTGTTATTCCCTGCCAGTATTGATTCTTTGAAACCTACTAAATAATAGAATCAAAATTAGCAATCAAGTGTATTCTTAGCAGTACTAGTCCATTGTCATATTAGTACAAAAAGATACCAAGAAACATAGAACAATGTATATAACAAGCTTCAATTTAACAAAATAATTTCCAACAATAATATTGAACTATGGACGACGTTTACGTTAGAACAGCCATTTGTATTTTTTTCTGAATTGACGAAATTTCCCTAAGTTTTTCGATTTCTGTCTATAAAATACTTAACGTGTGTGTTTAGAATTCCTAAAAGTTGTCGTGAAAAATTCATTACAATGCTATTCTGAGGTATTTTAAAAGTTCTTCAGAATTTATAAAGGCATGTCTTATAGTTTCACATAATAATATTTGCATTTAAACAAGTGATAGAGAAAAAATATATTAATATCTTTCTGACCATTGAAAATCCGATAATTTGTGTCAACATTAACATTACGTATTAAGGAGGTCAACATTAAATAATATGAAAATAAAGTTTCTTAAGTAAGTAATGGCTTAAATGAGTCAATCGGAAAAATGCACTATGTTTTTTTCACTACCAGGAGACTAGGGGCAGTGCCAAAGTGCTGTAGACAGTGGATTTCCGTACGATTTGACATACTATCTTTCTTAAAATTAGGTTTGAGAAGAGTCCTCAACTGTGGGTAGGGCTTGGGTTACATTCTCCTCACTCTCTTTTCGAGTATGTAAACAATGAAACTTCGATGTAAACTTCGGCATCGTCCCGCTGAGTTTCTTGCCAGATCTCTTTGATGGGTCGTGATTCTGATTTAGTGGTAAATATACTCTAGAAGCATCTGTTATTGAGGTGTCAAACTGTTTCTGGGGGCTCGGGTAGTTGTTAATAAGCCTTCCCCTCCTGATTGAGATCTTGAAATTGCTTATCCGTCCATTTTAAGAATGTTTTCGTCTAAAGCCATAATCTCAAGCAGTTATAGCCACAATTATTTTTAAGCGCGTATTATTATATATTTGTTGTTACCCTTTTTTAATCACATTGGAGCTGTGTTATATGCATTGAGTTCTTCATAACAGAGTTGTGTAGCTCTCGAGTGAGTGATAAAAAGAAAAAATAATATCAGATTAACTGATGTAACTTAACACTCTCCGAATTTATCACTAGCTCATTTAGCTTAGCCTACCCACATCCTTACTATACAATCTTAACGCTTCCTAATTTACTCAGGGTTTTTGGCTGCCTCCCTGAAATTATTAAAGTAGCAAAGTTCATTTCATTTTCTTTTTTCTTTCTTGTATAAATAAATCAGTTTCATCTTAGTTTACCATGTAATAAAAGGTGCAAAAATGGAAGAATTTATAAAATCAAAACTGGCAATAATGACATCCCAAGAAGCCTATTGCCATGTTGAAAAAGTGAGGAAGGCTTTGGCTATGTTCCGATTTACACTGCGAGCACACAATTCATATATAAGGTGTGACGTCAATTTGGTATATTCGAAGCTGTTCTTTTAAAAACATAGCTAGTTATGCTGGTTACTGCTTAAAATGGAATGCAGCATAGCCTGACTATTGAGTATTTAAGTTATTTTCAGTTGAATTAATCACATAGTAAATGTAAGTATACTTTGTTAGTAAAAGAAATTTTTGTTTATCAAAGAATTTAATGTATATTAACATAATAACCGAATTTTGAAATGAGGTAAAATGCACGGTAAAAGAGATCACGTTGTGGCGTTTAAGAACACGCCTTTTTATGATGCGTAAGCCGGAACGCACGAGTGGTGGGAAAAAGAAGATAGTCTGTAACACGGGACCTTTTTACCGCCGAAAATTTAAAACGTGTATAATATAATAAAAATAAAATGTGTATAATAACTAATATAATATAATAACTTAGAATTATTTAGGCCGCTACAATAATAAAACTCCTATTGTTTCAACTGTGGTGTTAATTACATAAAACACGATTTTACGGCGAAATAAAGAAGGGACTCTGTATGGATTCCCTCAACGTGATCAAAGTACTGAGAGCATCTTACCTCGAAAACACCCGTGTTCACAATATGGAAATGTTGTCATCAATTGCCCTAGCCTAGGATGCTATGACTGTATACCGGTAAAATGGGGCGATTAGGGACAAATTCCAACTTTATGACCAATTTTAAGGTAGTTGTTGATGTATATAATGCTATATCAGGATCAAAATGATTGCGTCTTGGGGGCATCTTTGTTGTCCAATTTAAAACTATGCAACTAGCATTCCAGTTTAAGCAAAAAATGCAAAAATAGGTGTAATCCCTATTTACCCAGAAATTGCGGTTAATTGGGACGAAATGAGAAATTTGCTAGGGTTGGCACTACTTGGTTTTAATTAAATTTTTTATTTAGTTGCACCAACAAAGTGATCATCAATAAAAAACATTGAAAAACTGACAAAAGTTCATGGCAGATGTCACCTCAATAATAGGTGCAATCGACAGTGCATTAACAACATTATAGTGGGCTTTCTTATAAACGGTTTATATTTCTTCGTTCTTGGTAAGTACTTAGGGGCTGATATTTTTATCTGGGTTAAGAGATTAGATGTGTCGGTTATTCCATGGATTAATCAGATGAATACCCCCACTCTGAACAAATATTAAATATTTTATTATGTATTACTTAGACATTTTTGTCCACCTTGAGATTTCATTGTTCTTGTTACATGTCTGTGCAAAATCGACTTACTTATCTATTCTATTTCAACTAAAGACTTATTCCCAATTTCATAGCCTTCTATTGCTGTTTTTAATATTAAGGGATCATATCCCTTATAAGGCTTTGCACTCTTTGATACGTACACGCGAGGCATATCTAAAAATAGAAAACAATACGTAACTGATAATATAAATATTTACCAAACAATAAAATAACACATTGATAATTTTGAATAAAAGTTCTAGACAAAACATCATGAATAAACCAGATTTTTATCTACAAATTAAAAAAATATTGTTATAACTACATTGACAACCCTACAAACCTGTACCTATTTATACTTAGGTCGTTTCCATTTCACGTATTCTCATCCCAATTGACCCCTTTTTGGTCGTTATTTGTACCTAAGACGTCCCCAATATCCCCAGAAACAACAGATTTTTACATGTATTTTTATTTTATCAAATACATTAAAACCAATAACTACTGAGACTAACCTTTAATATATATGCTGGTTCAAACACTAAATAACGCTTATAAATCACAGTCGTCTTCTATTATTATCAAATAAATAAAAGAGAGCAAAGTTTCTAGCACTAAAATAATTACCACCACAGGAACTTAATTTGAAACGCGATTTTTTATAAGTTAGCTGACACAACACTGAATATCTAAGCTATTATCATGCATATTCAGTGTTGTTTTGCGAACTTTTAACATTCTACCTACTATTAAACTACAAAAAATGGAAGATTTTACAACGAATTTATAACTTAAATTGAGCGTCGAAAAATTTTCCCGGTTTTTTCCCGATTCGCCTCTCCATCCCTAATCGCCCCATCTTACAGTACGCTCAGAGTACGCTGTGAGTAACAGTGTATATCGTTATCGGTGTATATCGGAACGTAGCCTTCGTGTGAGTTTATAAAGTCTTATTTATTGAGTTTATTTTCTAAAGTACCTTCCGCTTCAACAGAAATAATTAAAAAAGCATGTTCTCTAATATTAAGCAACTATGTTTGCCATATTCTGAAAGCTATCTCTTGATTTCTGCTTATTAGCTAAGAAATAGATGGGGTAATAACATTGTTATTCGTAATAAGTTGTTCGGCTTCCATGGCAGACATACAAACTACATAGGTACCTACATTGTCAAATATATTAAGTGTATAATCTATTAGGGCGATATTATATTTCAATGTACACCAAACTATAGTAGTATCATTGTTTTTAAATAAACAGTTATAAATACATTATTGTGTAGAAGAGACAAATAAATACAAAAATATTTGGCACTGGTTTGATAAACCAGACATTTAGTACCAAAGTATTATACTTGATATTAACCTGTCAATAGGTGCCAGTGAAACCCAAACTAAACAAAAAAAACCTAATCTGGTTGAGTGCACCTTAATAATTTAAGGTAGTTTAGGTTAGTAATTTAAGGTAAGGTACACACAGGTTATTCCACTGGTAGCTTACAATTACCTAGTTAGAATATCACATTTTATAATGACAATTCAGGTAACTTAGAAGAAAAAATTAAAGTCAAATATAATACGGAAGTAAGTAGTATACTATATGGGTGAATGAGCCCATCACCCACCTGGTGTTAACTGGTTACTGGACTATATGGATATTACACATGAATGCCACCACCCACCTTGAGACATGAGATTGAAGTCTCAATTGTATTGTATAACAGTTGTCCCACTCTTCAAACTGGAACAAAGGACTGCATGAACCTACCTATGCTGTAATGCTTTACTGCCAGAAAAACGAATACTTTAGTATCTAATGTAGATACTTAACAACTATATTAAATCAATGCAGTTTGATAATGTAAAATTATATGATAAAGTAACAACAAATTAAACTAGGGACTTTGGACAGAAAGTACATTTAACTGTTTACACCGATTTTCTAACAGTGAATGGCATTGATAAAACTTGTAGATACTAATATCTTTAATAGTTTTATATGTAGCCTTTGAAATATTTAAACTATTGTTCTCATCTAAATATAATAAAAAAAGTCAAAATAATCATAGGTAAATACTAAATGATCACTGATATATTTTTCAGGGTATAAAAGGACTCCAGTGAACATGATAGAAGGTACATCACCCAAAATAGTTACATCAAGGCGTCGCATTAAATACGTAAGGAGTAAGTGGCGCGTCCATGAGTTTGAGATATGGAGCACTGAAATGATATGTCGAGTGGTGACACTGCGAATGAAGGATTCAGTCTTGGTGTGGCTCGGAAGCAAGGAGGAGCCGGCGTTGGGGGAGCTAGCGCTCGGCGTGCCGGCACCTGGCGCGCCACGAGCGGCTCTGGCCTCGGCGCTGCTCGGCGCGGACGGCGCCCTCACCACCTCCATGGCGCGTCGACTCGCCGCCACACTCAACCACCCTGCGTACGTCGCCTGCGGCAGTATGTTCGATAGGTTCACTTTGCCGCTTGTTGAACGAGCACTTATTACAGAAATTAAAAGTAGCCCTGAATGTTTCTGAGACCTGACCACAGAGGACACACTGCAGCTGCGGACGGCGAGCGGCATTATTGATTTGTATGGATGGACCTCTGATTCATGAATCTTCTTCATTAAGAAGGTGGTTTGCACAATATTAAAATGTCGACGAATAGCACCTCAGTCATCCGTAAAGTATTCGAAATGGCGGAATTAATACTGAGATTAAACTATAAAAATAGTTTTATTTAAAACTGTAGTCTTCTGAGCACGAGCGTAAGGGGTTTTGCTGAAAAGTTGCGTGGAAGCTTTATTTATATTTTTTTATAAATTACATATGTATATAAGAATAAAATAATAAATAATAACTAACCGCTAGATATGAAAAACTAAGAAATCAATTTTTACTTACAGAAAAGGAACTTAAGATCTGGTTAAAATTAATTTAAAAATGGAACATCCTGCATTTATCTATTGGAAGTTGTTAGTTAGTGCCTACATACAATCTAGTATTTTCTTCGACTTAATTGTACCGCTTGACCCGTGGCCAATAAATGTAATCAATACTTAAGTATCAACACTTTATTTGACACAACACATTACGATAATTTAGAATGCAAGGTAGTTTAATAACTTAAAAGTACATAATATTATTATATTATCCGCAACATGCTTTGTCAGATTATATATACATAAGTATTGTCTATGAAAAATACTGGTCATTTGAAACTTGATTAATTTATGTATGGCTGGCAATAAATTGTAAAATCAAAATAATGTACAAATTCGGGTATTTTTTTATTGATTAGTTTTTTGTTTTGTATATGTAATGAAACCTATTAATGTAGTGACATTAGTATGTTTTTCATCAATATGGACACATTACAAATATAAGTAATCATGGGATAATAGTTTTGTTTCTGTAACAATGCCCCACAAAGCGAGTCACCAGGTTCACGATGTGTTCGCAGTGAACACTAATAACTGGTTGTTAGTTTCGACGCTTTCGTCGTGGAAATGTTAATCTGTAAATGAGCCCCGTGGTCGCCGGAAACCTGAAACCAACAATGACGAATGAAAGGCGACAGTGCAAGCTGACGATACACACTCTACGTTTGAGCTAGCAGCTAGCATCACAACAATGTGCGCAATTTGGCAAAGAAAACTTGATAAGTGCGTGCCACACGAACTGAACGGGCGCCAGCGACGACGAAAGCTTTAAGAGATGCCAAGCGGCACTTCACTTACGCAGAAGTAAAGGGATTTTGAACCGCATTGTCACTTACGATGAAATGTAGTCTTTTTGATTGTCGTAAGCGTCGTCATGCTGGTTGGTTCGTAAGTGGCATGGCTGGTTTAGCATTCAGGTAACTAAAAAGTCATGGTCTTCGCAGAGTACGTTTTTCGGATTCTCCCGATCCACTATCGGTGCTTTTAGACATTTCAAGCATCGGACACCGTTCTTTGTGAACCCGTCAAATATGACGAAGTGTTCGACGTGTAAACTAAACCCACAGACACAGCCCACTGAGTTTCTTGTCCCATCTTCTCAGTGGGTCGCAATTCCGTTCCGGTGGTAAAATCAGCCAATCACTGGCGGGTTGCTAGGGCAGATGTTAGCAAAGTCTCCCAGACAGCCCCGTGAGCTCGCATACACGTTCGCTGAAACATACATAGCCCGTTGAGGTTATTAATATTTTTTCTATTCCTTTGTCGTGTCACTCTTGTCAGAGCGGTCGTGGTCGTCATTCAGGATCATTGCTGTGGGCAGAAGCATTACATAATATTAATAACATTGTTATGTTGCATATATGCATATATTTTTATATGCCGAATTTCGATTTTGGTCCACCACTTTCGGATGTCCAACACCACCACTAAAGTCCGAGGGTTGTGGCTGCGGTCTGAAGTTTTGCACGATGAAGGACATGTTCCTGCTGGACTAGCAGACCGCGGTGTCATCGGTGAAGCGGCCAGGTGAATCAACAATGACCGCGGGTGCCGTTGATGTGCGCTGGGCTGTTCTGCAGGGTCCATAAACTTTACACTAAATCAGTTCCAATTGCAATGTGCCAATACTTTAATTTATTGTTTCCTATAATGGGTGGCGGTTAAAACTTAATTAAAAAATCACTACTTTTGAAATAATTAAAATACTAAGTTATCTGAAAACACCAACTCGGGTGTGCACCAAGTTAGTATGAAGCAGACAGCGGCTGGGCTGTACCTGGCACTGTTGATGGCCGCATCATTTTACGCTTTCACATTTGCACACATTAACACCACTATGCAAGATACATAGGCGGCACTGAAAATTTCGGGAATTAACGAAGTGACACAACATTACTATTTAAAAATGTATTTATTGCTTTTCGAAGTATTCTCCGCGAAATTTGACACATTTTTCCATACGATGGAACCAATCATTGAAGCAACCATTCCATTCGGAAGTTGGGGTCTCCAAAATGGCTGTTTTGTAGGCGTCCACAGCTTCTTCAGGTGATGAAAATATCTGTCCACGCAATTTATTCTTTATTTTAGGGAAAGTATAGAAATCATTAGGGCTTAGGTCGGGGCTGTACGGCGGATGGTCTAATAATTCTATGTTTTCTTGCTCTAAAAACTCTTTTGTTCTCTGCGCGGTGTGAGAACTCGCATTGTCGTGATGGAGGATGATGCGGCGGTTGCAGTTCTCTTTACGGAGTTCAGAAACGACCTGTGGCAAACAAATGCTAGCATACCATTCTGCATTAATCGTTCTTTGTCCCTCAAGAGGAATAGTCGTAACATGGCCGGTTTTGGAGACAAACGTGGCCACCATTTTTTTTGCAACACTCCGTGAACGAACAATTTTTGTTGGCTTTAACTCATTTTCGAACATCCAAACTCGTGACTGGTTTTTTGTTTCGGGTTCGTACGCGTATATCCAGGATTCGCCACCTGATACAATGTTGTATACAGCATTTGAGGATCCTGCGTGGAATCTTTCGAGAGTTCTGACGGACCAAGTAACGCGAGCCGCTTTTTGCTCTTCACAGAGCGAATGCGGTATCCATCGGGAAAACAACTTTTTTACACCTAATTGTTCATGCAAGATTATTTGTATTTTACTCATGCCAATGTCTAAAGTTGCCTGAATTTCGCGGTATGTCACATGTCGATCTTCCTCAATCAGCTTACGCACAGCATCAACGTTTTCTTGGGTGACTGCAGTTTTTGGACGACCTTGACGGGGATCATCACTGAGCTTGACACGTCCACGTTGAAACTCAGCAAACCCGCGATAAATTGTGGTTTTGGATGGGGCTTCATCACCAAATGCAGAAATCATCCGGTCAACACACTGTTTTTGTGTTAAACCACTTCAAAGTCATAATAAATCATCGCTCTGGAATTTTCTCGAGTCAATTCCATTTTCTCAACGACTAAACAAGTTTGACAAAACCTCGTGACAAGACCGAGAATCTTTTTTTAAATAAATAAATGGTATTCGATTTTTAAAACCAAGGAGTCTTCAATTAAAAATATTTTAATATGACAGGAACAGTGGAAATATTCCATTCCCGATACTTTTAGTGCAGCCCTCGTAGTCACTAAAATACAATTTTGCTATGATTTATTTCTCAGGAATTAATGTTAATATAATATGTAGTAATTTAATTTATAATCTAACTTAGAAAGGAGGGAGCCTGGAGACCAATACAGGTCTTTGAACCTAGAACAGACTTCAGCTCTTTCAAAGGTTAACAAAATAAATTTTAACCTCTTCCTCCTTCAGTCTATCGCTCATTGCTGAGGATCGTGATGCGCCGCCTGTGACCTTTTTTTAATTTTTAGCCACTTATGCCGGTTAGTGGCACAGTGAAGTGCGTGGCTCCGTCTCATATCCAGATGCTCGGACACTTGGTCACTCCATCTTTTTCGGCTCCGACCTCTGGATCGTCTTCCATCCACTTTACTCGTCACTATGAGTCTCCAGGTTGTCAGAGGGTTTACTTGCTATATGGCCAAAATATTGGAGCATTCTATACAGTCATTTGGTTGATAGCCTCTGGTCAACTCTTAGCTCGTTGAGGATGGAAGCGTTCGTCCGGAAAGCCGTCCAAGGGATGCGCAACATGCGCCGCCAGCACCACATCTCAAACGCGTCTATGCGTCGCCTGTCTCACTCTTTTAAGGGCCTGGCCTCAGCCCCATACAAAAAGATTAAGAAAACAAGCGACTCAACAATTTGCACTTTCGTTTTCTTGAATATGTTCCGATCTCTCCATATTTTGTTTAGCTGGCTCATAGCGGATTTGGCCATTCCGATGGCCGATTTGGCCTTATTTCGGTTTCCGATCCACCTCTATTGGAAATAATCGAGCCGAGGTACACGAAAGTCTTGACGATGTCGTATTGGCCAAGAATATTATTTTCGTTAAGGGTGCGGGATTTATCCACGATCATGATCTTTGTTTTGGACTGGTTGATCTTTAGCCCCATTTCCTCGCTAACAATAACCAGACGTCGCAGCAGCTCTTCCATTTCCCCTTTTGATTACGTAACTAATGTGGTATAATCAGCGTATCGCAATGTTTACGCCCCCGACTGTGACGCCACCATCCCACTCGTCTAGGGTTTTCGCATTATGTATTCGCCATATATGTTAAATAAGACGATGCAACCCTGGCGCACAACTCTGTTGATTGTGCTGGGCCGATCCGTATCAATCCCTGTTCCGACAGGTACAGGGTTCTCATCAGCTGAATCAGATGGATGGGAACGCCCATGTCCATAAGCACATACCATAAATGTTTCCAACTAACACAGTCAGAGGCTTTTTGGTAGTCGACGAAGCATAGGATGGCTGGGATGTTATACTCATAGCACTTTTCTATGATAAGCCTTACATTGAGTATCGTTTCGCGAATTCTCTTTCCCTTAACAAATTCTGCTTGTTATTGTGGAATTTGCCAGTCTAGGAAGTGTGTAAGCCTTGAGTTAATGACATGCAGCAGAACTTTGCTAGTGTGTGATATCAGGGCAATAGTTCTATAATTGTTACACCTTCTGGTGGTAGTGCCTTTTTTGTGTAAGGGCAGTATCGCAGAGTGAGTCCAATCTTTCGGCCATTCATATTCGGCATATTGAGTTGCATAAGTTTACAAGTTTCGCAACTCCCTTCTCTCCGAGGCCCTCGAAAACTTCGGCGGTAATATTATCGATGCCGATTGCCTTATTTGGTTTCAATTTCCCAACAGCGGCAGTTACTTCTGTGTATAGAATAATCGGCTCTAGCTCCATGTTGTTCTCCAGCTCGGCCTTCCTGTGGACTAACACGATGTGTTGGGGGTCCGCGGATTGAGTACTGGTGGTGCACTGCTCTTTCAGTCCATTAAATTTGCCTTTTCATTGTTATCGAGAGTTGGGTAAGCCCACTGAGTTTCTCGCCGGATCTTCTCAGTGGGTCGCGTTTCCGATCCGGTGGTAGATTCTGCGAAGCACTGCTCTTGCTAGGGCCAGTGTTAGCAACACCTCCGGTTTGAGCCCGAGAGCTCCCTACACGCTAGGGCAACGCTGAAATAGCCTATCAGCAAAGGTAGGATAAAAAAAAAGAGAGTTGGCCTGAGAGGGATACGAGGGGAGGCATGGTGACTATAATTTTCGATTTATGGGTCCTAGCTAGTTGCCAGTACGCTTGGGGAGAGGAAGTCCTTTTAAATAACCTTCCTACCTCTTATTTCGGGCTTCGTATAGGCGAAATTTGACGTTCCGCTGTAGACGCATCCGAATCGGGTTTGATTCGGTAGGATAACGATCGTAGGACCGGATTAACGCGTTTCTAATTTATAGAAGATTCCTGAGCTCCGGGGATAGTCTGATGTGGTAGAATGGATGCGGGACTCGACTTTGATGAAATGCATTTCCTATCGCAGCGGATAGGTCATTTGTCAAGATATCTATGGATTCGACAGTATTCTAAAGGGATGGTGAGGAATCCGGACTGTAAAAGAGGATTGGTGGGGAGGATTCTGCCAAGGTGATGCTTAGTTTCTTCAAATCCACTATGGTCCTCGTGACTGGGTCTGGGGTGAAAGGATGACCGAGCTGTTTGACGACAGGTCGGTGGTTAGAGTTAAGTTATGACATTACTTCGATGAATCTCAAGCACAGAGTTTCGTTCCTAAGCAGTGCCAGATCGATGGTGCTCGGGCGATGAGCGATATCATACGGGAAACATGTTGTGGTTAGAAGGCCGGTAATTTTGGGGGCGACGCTGCGGGTAAAGTTTTTCTACAGGGCTCTCGGGGCAACTACGATAGTTGGCGGGGTATCCTTGCTAAGGCATCGGATACAGTCGATTGGTGGGAGTACAGTTAGGGGTTCGGTCACTGTTTTTATATCACGCAAGCAGTGGGTGGTGGCATTGTCGCCTAAGCATTTTAAGCAACGACAGCGTGCGTGCTATTTACTGTTCCAACATTGACTAGGTATATGAGCCACGCCTCAAGAGTCAATTACTCGTCCTAGCTTAAATAAACAGTATACCTACATGAAATGGGAATAAAAGAGGATTTCACATCGACATTATAAGGTACGTTCTCTACTTCATTGGCTTTAGCCAAGAGATTTATCTCACAGTGAATACGAATTAGAAGTCAGAAATTCAGAAGATAAAACTACGAGCTTCGTAAAGTAACTTGTTCAATTTACTCCAATGTAACTACCTAACAGCCACAAGGAATATTCAGTAGCAAGGAAAGTGCACTAATACGTTGATTTGTGCTGAAACGCCCAAATAGGTACAATACTTACATTCTGATAACAAAAATGTTAACAAAAGGCACCCGAAACTACTGTTTTCAAAAACATAGATTAACAACGCACAACCGGGCAGGCTAAAGTCTTCCAGGACGCAATCAGAAAAATCATTACATATCGATTACATACCTAAGAAGGAGGCAACATTACAACCAGGAGATATTATTATAAAACTACCATCAAGTTTACTGAACTTTCAAATTTTTTGAAAAGCTACTATATAATATTTTTTATTATTAAATTATATGGTAAATATTAAAACATAACGTAACGGAAGTTTATAATATTTATATTTATAGCCTACAGACACAAAATTAATACATACATCAAAATATTTCTCTTAATATTCGATTTTTGCAAATTAAAATTACTTTCACATTTAATCTCTTATTTATAAATTTTTCAATTATTTCATTTCACTCTTGAATTTTGTGCTAAAGACTACTTACTGAAATTTGACATTAAAATATAAAATGAGGGGATTAAACCGTAAAAGTAGTTTTAATAACATATTTCTCATGTAAATATTCGAATATCTTGCAGCTTGTAAAATTAAATTGTGAAATGTAATGTAAAATTAATTAATTTAAATCTACCTTACTGTACTACGTTGGATTGTTGTACCTACTGTTTGTTAGTACCTAGCGTGTTTCATTCTTAGTAATCATTCGAGTCTTTGAGAAATAACTGTCTTTATGTATCCCTCGTCGTAATCCGATCAGGAAGTCGCTTAGGCAAGTTGCAAGTGGCTCTGGCGGCCACTCAGACACCATTACGTTACCTAAATGTACTCTTCAGTAGTTGCGCTTCGGTACGAGCCCTGCGAACTTCTATCGAGAACGTGCGGTTACTCTTAATGACCCTACGTGTTTTTTGTGAAGGAAGGATTATTATGACCCGGAGGCCTTTCCACTTTCACCAGGACAGGCGAGTGAGCATAGGTTCGGCCAGGTGGAATGGGATTTGCTAACAGGTGGCCGAGCGCCTGCGGAGGAGACCTAACAACTCTATCGGATCGTAATCGCGACCCGATGAGAAGATCCGGCGAGAGACGTCGTCGTTTTGAAATCGTCATGGCCTACAGGATAAGACGTCCGGGACATTCGAATCTAGCGATGCCCCAGTGTTCGAATCCCGCAGGCGAGTACCAATTTTTGTAATGAAATACCTACGTAGGTACTTAAGAAATGTTCACGATTGACTTTCACGATGAAGGAATGACATAGTGTAATAAAAAACAAATCCGCAAAATTATAATTTGCGTAATTAGTTAATTACTGGTGGTGCTGGTGGACCTCTTGTGAGTCCGCGCGGGTGGGTATCACCACCCAGCCTATTTCTGCCGCGAAGCAGTAATGCGTTTCGGTTTGAAGTGTGGGGCAGCCGTTGTAACTATACTTGAGACCTTAGATCTTATATCTCAAGGTGGAAGGCGCATTTGTGTTGTGGATGTCTATGGACTCCAGTAACCACTTATCACTTGGTGGGCTGTGAGCTCGTCCACCCAACCAATCAATAAAAAAAAAGAACTTTCTTAACGGAGCACGTATTTTGGTAATAAAATTCAATGATTTGCAAGCGCTGTGCGTTTTTAAGACGATTCATGGGTAAGTTATAGTAGGTATGTAGGTAGGTATATCAAACTGAAGATGTTGACAGTGACATAAAACACGAAACGTGCGTGAGCTGTCAAAAGCAGTGCTGCCAAAAAGAAAATAGTTAAAAAATCACTAGGTACCTATATAATATGCGTAGTACCTACTCCAAAAAACCTTTATTAAACTGATAATCAACAGCTATACCTAATAGGTATATAAACACGTAATAAAAAATATGAGCTTTTCTTTTTCGCTTGCTTATACATACAACTACCTACTTTCCGTTTACATATTAAGTAGTTATGTACATATACCTATATGTACAAATTTAAGCGTACCCACGTATTTTCCTAAGAATTTCCCAATACGGGAGTCCTACGTTATTACCATCAGTGATGTCAAATGAACGATTTGTGGGTACATACTACTACATACCTATGGGAATGCCAATATGCACATACGTACAGTTTCATAAATTTTTAAACGTTAAATTCTTTAATTTATAAACCATGTAAAGCAGGTACCGTGTAAACTGGCGGATAGGTGCGGATATAGCTTAATGGGTTCATGTACCTACTACAGTCTGCAGCCATTATCTATTAAACTGTATTTGATTTTTGTAAGTGCCCATAAAGATTAGGTATTAACTGTACTTTTTCTTTAACGCAGACCGCAGGACAAAGGCGAAACATCTCAGCTGGAGTGAGGAGCGACTTGGTCCTCTCCTCTGACGATTGAGGCCGGTGAACGCTTGCCAAGCCTTATCTGAGGGTAGTTTCTGACATTGCAGTTCTCCGCTTCGTAAGTTTGATGACAGTCTAGCCTATAGCGTGACGGGACAGTCTTTCCAATTTCATCTAGTACAAAATGGGAAGTCATTAGAAAAAGTGTGTAATAAGTGAATAAGTAGAACTTAAATTTCGTATTTAATCATCTCTCGAGAAACCGATGATGGGTTTGAATCCATTCAAAGAATCGTATCTGTAGAGTGCGTGCACAAAAAGTGTGAGCCAATGTGGGCGGTGGGCGGAGCGCCGGTGGGTCGCTGGTGGGTCGGTGGCGGGGCGGAGTGCCGCAGGAGCGAGTGGCGCAGTGGCGTGCGGCGCCTCGCTGCGACCGAACCTGGCGACCAGCGCCGCGTGTCGTCGCGAGTGAGTGCACAGTGGGAGTGCGGCGGCTGCTGACCGCGCAGTGCTTCGTGCCCAGTGATCGGGGTCTCCGTTACGTACTGTGATATTACAAGTCTGCTTCATTAAAACAATCGACAGTTTAGTAAAACTGAACGTGCGTCCGGTGCCACTGTAAGTGTTCTCTCACTGATCCCGACGACACACAGTGCTTCAATAGTGAGTGATGCTTCTTATTTAAATGTTATTGTGTTCGTTGAATGCGAAAAACGCGAAGAGATAGACGATCAGTTAATTTTGTTTTATTATAGGTATACATTATTACCTATATGAATTATTGAATGTTTTATAATATATTTATTACCACCATGTGACCATTATATAAAAAGTAACGAAAAATGACAAACAGATTTGCAATGCCCTTAATAACAACTCATATAGGTGTGCGCTCTATGTACTCCCGTATGTTCCCGGGCTCCTTATGTCCGAATGACACTCAGCATCATATACCTACATGTTGAGTTAGGTATAAATACATATATAATGTGCACCACAGTGATTATAACGTGCAACCCTTCTAATCATTTGTAGTTACTTATCTGAGTTTCATCTCATCAAATGCAACTTACTTTGTTATACTCAGTATTGGTAGCCATCGGAGTATACGCCTTGTTCGCCGCTGGCTGGTAGTCTGCGCACTGCACAGTGCTCTGTCGATGGTAGGCGGGCCCTCGTTTGCTTAAAGCGGCTCCGAGTCGTGTCTAGTGGGTACCGAGGGGCGGGGGTATGCAGCTGTTTAAATTTTTTGCAGTATCGATTTTTATAAAAAAAAAACTTATAATAATTGAAAATGCAATAATAAAATAAAATATATATATTTAGGCACAGCAAGGGCATAGAGTTAACTATTCAAACCCGTTCTATTTATAATATAAATTGTTTATCTAATTATTACTGGCCGGGCGTAATCCTCAGATAAGTATCGACAGTCACATAAGATGCCATTGATACTTTAATGGTGTCGCTCTGGGGGCTGTGGGGGCTCGTCCACACACTCGTGCAGTAGTGTGTGAATGCTCTTTACACGACCTAGTACTTGTTTGACAACATCATATTTATTATCATACATAATATTATTATTATATTACTGGTGGTAGGACCTCATGTGAGCTCGCACGGGTAGGTACCACCACCGCGCCTATTTCAGCCGTGAAGCAGTAATGCGTTTCGGCTTGAAGGGTGGGGCAGCTGTTGTAACTATACCGAGATCTTAGAACTTATATCTCAAGGTGGGTGGCGCATTTACGTTGCAGATGTCCATGGGCTCCAGTAACCACTTAAAACCAGGTGGGCTGTGAGCTCGTCCACCCATATAAGCAATAAAAAAAAAACAGAGTCCCTTCTTTATTTCGCCGTAAAATCGTGTTTTATGTAATTAACACCACAGTTGAAACAATAGGAGTTTTATTATTGTAGCGGCCTAAATAATTCTAAGTTATTATATTATATTAGTCATTATACACATTTTATTTTTATTATATTATACACGTTTTAAATTTTCGGCGGTAAAAAGGTCCCGTGTTACAGACTATCTTCTTTTTCCCACCACTCGTGCGTTCCGGCTTACGCATCATAAAAAGGCGTGTTCTTAAACGCCACAACGTGATCACTTTTACTGTTACTATACTGAGACCTTACAACTTATATCTCAAGGTGGGTGGCGCATTTACGTTATAAATGTCTATGGGCCCCATTAACCACTTAACAGCAGGTGGGCTGTGAGCTCGTCCACCCATCTAAGCAATAAAAAATAAAAATATTTACATTCATATAGGTGCCGGGTAACGGGCAATTACCATGATCCCATTAATTGCAGCCTCTCCGCTCCCTTAGACTCGAGAACGCCAAAGAGCTTGTTCGGGTGCAAGGCGAGGATACGTTCACTCGTCGCAAGCACAGACTTTAATAAATGGTTTCCATTTTAAAAGTAGTACTTTCAAATAATGTGAAAATATTAATTAATTATCGAATTTATTAACGCACTGTTTTGGATTTCATGAAAAATGTTGCCCTCTACATTTACATTTTCATCTTTTTCATATAATGATATCTTGAGCTCTCAACCTACTGACTAAAAAATATAGGTATATTAATTTCTTTATTACACTTTTTTATTGTCAGATATCATGAAGGTGGTTCAAAAGTTTGAAACTGTGTTTCGAGTTTACAAACCAAATGTAACTGGAATCAATACTAGCGTAACAAAGAACATGGTTTTATATTATTTTAAAAATAGGCAAGAAAGCATCGCCGTCAAATATCTATTGAAACATTTTGGCACACGTATGTACGTGACCTACTCACCGGTATTTTCGATTATTATTTCTTACTAAGTATATTCTACTAGATACTAGAAGGTACTAGAAGCTGCCACCAGAGCGTTAACAGGACCTTGCAACAACATAGAGTAAGACTTATCCATATATATAAAAATTAATTGCTGTTCGTTAGTCTTGCTAAAATTCGAGAACGGCTGGACCTATTTGGCTAATTTTGGTCTTGAATTATTTGTGGAAGACCAGAGAAGGTTTAAAAGGTAGATAAATATGAAAATTCTCGGAATTAAATAAAAATAACAATTTTGTTTTTCTTTTGGTGTCCCCCCCCGTCGGACGGATTCCTTTTGTTTGTTTTAAGTTTATTTTATACAAAAGTTTAGGTCTTTTATTTATCGATTGAGGTACTACGAAGTCTGCCGGGTCAGCTAGTCACTTATATTATATTATTTGACGCCAATAAAAAAAAAAGGTTTCAATCAAATTTCAAGATTTGGATCAGAATATACCAGTGCAACTAATAGCTTTGCACAAAATGTTCACTCTGGAAAATATCTTAATACATTTTAGCAACCTAATACATTTGCTTCTAATTTAGAACGAGAGATAATCTTCTTTTAACTTTTTGCTGGCCCACCGTTACGAAGGCCATGCTCACCACGTACAGGCTGTTGTCGACTCCACGCCTGGCCGCTGATATTATAGATCTCCTTCTTTGTCGCATCACTCTTGTCAGAGCGGTCGTGCTCGTCATTCAGTATCATTGCTGTGGGCAGATGTTATGTGCCTTACGAGTAATCTTATATTATAGATATAATGCATAAAAAAACCAAAGTAGCCAAAATAAATTTATATTGATTCCCTCTGAAGCCAACAAGGAGAAATACACCATGATTAGGAATCACTGCAATAGAATGAATACGGATGCTTTTCACCGCCATATCCATACACTAATTTATAATAGTGATCTAGCAAAAGTCTGGATGTTCTTAAGTTATTAGGCGTTGGAATGTCAAGATCAGGTACACCGCATGATATTCATGCCCTCAAATCCCAGTTTTCTTCGTCTCCTAATGTGGACCCTAACGATAAACGTAAAATCTTATATTGTCTATTTAACTGTTCAATTATCCTTTCATTCCACTTTAATCAATTTACTGCAAGAGATGTTAAAAAGGTTATCTTTTCTCTACTTTCAAACGAGTTAGGATTTGAAAGCATTAGTCGCAACGGATACGGATTTAAGACGAAATCATCCGTATCCTTAATGACCTCATATGAAATAGCGCTTGCTCTTCTTCGTTGAAAGAATCACGAAGTCGTCGTGCCCTAGCGGATAAGACGTCCGATGCATTCGTGTTGAGCGATGCACCGGTGTTCGAATCTCAGGCGGGTACCAGTTTTTCTGATGAAATACGTACTCAACAAATGTTCACAATTGACTTCCACAGTGAAGGAATAACATCGTGTAATAAAAATCAAACCTGCAAAATTATAATTTGCGTAATTACGGGTGGTAGGACCTCTTGTGAGTGCGCGCGGGTGGGTACCACCACCCTGCCTATTTCTGCCGTGAAGCAGTAATGCTTTTCGGTTTGAAGGGTGGGCAGCCGTTGTAACTATACTTGAGACCTTAGAACTTGTATCTCAGAGTGGGTGGCGCATTTACATTGTGGATGTCTATGGGCTCCAGTAACCACTAAACACCGGGTGGGCTGTGAGCTTGTCCACCCATTTAAGCAATAAAAAAAATATTATACAATTGCCTAAAAAATTCAAATTATTTCTAAATGTAGGCCTATTTTTATTTTACCTTTTCTCTTGAAAGTAATCGAAGGTTTGCTTAGTTGTCCACTCAGTAGTCACTCTTACCCATCTAGACACAACCTAACGACCTGGTTTTCGTGCCATCGTAACTCGACGACGACTCGACCTTTGTTATAGACGACACAAGGCTGGATGTGAAACCGGGCAGCCTACAGTCGTTACACCCTTTATTTTAGTAGCGGATGTAACAATGTTGATTGTGAGATCTTTTGGTAATACTCAGCTTCGTTTACTTATCTCTTTCTGTGGTAGATTGGGTTCACAGTTCCCTGTTCCCCGTACGGGCGCGTTGAGGATTGTTCTCTTTATATTGTTGCGCTTGCTAGTGTTCAAGGCGGTGTGCCATCTCATCTCTTTGCTATTTTTATCAATCCATATCGAATTCTCTCACTTCTATCTATCATCTCTATGCAGTCGATTTCCAAATATATTCATAGGCTCGACGACACTTTGGATGAAGCTGTTAACAGCATGGGCTGCGATTTGCGAAATATAGCTGACTAGAAGAGACGCTTTCCGGTCATCGAAACTATGATCACGGCTTTCAATTACGCGAATAATTTTTTATTGCCCTTGTAGGCAGACGAGCATAAGGCCCACCTGATGGTGAGTGGTTACCGTCGCCCATGGACTTCAGAAATGCCAGGGGCAGAGCCAAGCCGCGGCCTACCGCACAAAAACTGACATTCTCTCTTTTTAGAATATTCTGCTTAACCCATTCACCCACACTATTTGAAAGAGTGATTTAAATGGTTTGCGCTCATCCCAGACATGTTCACTAAGAACATCAAAGCACCTCACACTGACACCCATATCTTTAGACATTTTCTCAAATATTCCCCCACTTTAACTCATCCGAGGAAGCCTCGAGAATTTCTCTAAAACTTACTCGGGCTTGGTATTTTTAGTCGACCATTACAATATTCCTCAACTCTACTCGAGTGAGGTAGAGTCGAGGTACTGCATTACCACGACTTCATCAGTTCGAGGAAAATTTGCCAAGCCAGCGTCAAACACATAGAGATCTGTAGTCTATGGTCATTGTTTAATGTCAAA